AATTACTGTTTTTATTTTTTAATACAATTTAATTGATTAACATTTAAAATACAATATTTTTAATGAGCTATTAAATATATTCAATCTGAAATGTATTATATATTTTGCTTCGCTGACTAGTACATTCTTAAATGAAATAAATAAAATATTATGTATGGATAATATATTTATACATTATGCATGGGTCCAGAAATTATTTTAACTTTTATTTTGAGACTATAGTATATTACGGGGTGGTAGTCGTATTACATGCGAGTATGATTAACTTATTCAGCAATGCAAAATACAGTATTCTTCGTTTATGCATTAATTGTTCTTTTTCCGTCAAGAAAAAAATTGTTCAGCTGAAAAAGGGGTTGGAGCATGCATTGTATGTCTTAAGCAGTAATATTTAGGCATTTCGTATAGCATTTAGAATGGCGTTCTCAGGAATTTTCAATGGGGGGGGGGCTCTGAAAATTTACTAGAATACGAAAGTGGGGGGATCTGCCCCCACAGTAATAATAATAATCACAAATTTTGTACTGTTTTAAAAAACCACATTATCACAAATTGTCATCAAACTGTTAAATTGATAGCGCGGTCGTGTCATAGAACATGTTCTATGGTCGTGCTCCAATCCAACTCGATAACCGTGGTACTGGTTACTAATTACGTATAAACCACTAAATTTTAATGAATAAAATCAATAATCAATTATTATTAAACTATTGGAATAATTTTAAAAAAATACAGCCAATGGGGGGGGAGGGTTTGAACCTCATGAACCCCCCCCCCCCCCGTGAGTACGCCACTGAGCATTTATATTTGAGCTGTGTCATTTGAGAGAAGTAAATGAACGTTAGTGTGAGTATTCCGTTATCACGTCTGTCTATAATCTACTTTACGAATTCCCGGGACCACGGTCTACGATGATAATCAAAATTAATGAGAGAAACAACAGAAATTTAAAATAAAAACAAAATTTACGTCAAGTATCAACGGCCAACAAAATATTAATCTTTTGATAATGAATACAAACAATTTTTCTAGTACCTACCTACTTATCTATTATTCGTATAATGCCAATGGGCAATTGGCAGTGGTGCAACTAGGATCTCGGGGCCCCGATGATAAGATAAGTCTGCCCTATAACTATTTAAGTGTTGGTAATTTTTTTTTTTCAATAAAGACTACTTACTACTTACTTATTATTAAATACGTTACTCAATTCTTCTGCGTTAAAAATACCTTCCAAGCTTACATCTACAATAAGGCCCTCTTTGAGTCTTAGTGATAATGTCAATTAGACAATGTCATCCACCCAGTAGCAGCTCGTAGTAAATATTCTGGGTAAACTTAAATTATTTAACATAAACTCCATACAAGAACGAACAAGAAAAACCCTTTCATTGGTAAACTGTTGGTAATACTGTTTAACTTCAGAATAATATTGGAGAAATAGTTATGATAGGATAACAAATACAAATAGGTAATTTATTATTAAAATATTTTATTAATATTTTAATATAAATAAAATAATATATAATATTTAACACAAAAAATGTTAAAATAGTTTATAATTGTTAAATTCAACCGGTAAATAAAACATATTAAGTTTAGTTATAAATAATAGATGATACAATAGCTGTACAGACTTGTTACAAAGAATGACATAAAAAAATAATCAAATTTAGTAAATATAACTAATAGTGAATATTTTTAAACTTTAACATAAAACGCTTGTTTACAAATAGGTACTTAAATTAAATATATTCTTTAACAATTTCTTAAAAAAAATATATATATATATATATACAGAGTAAAAACATACCAAATAAAAAATAAATTTACATTATGCTTTTATATAATAAATGCTTATAATTTTAACGAACAATGCACATTTTATTTACATTAAATATACTCGTATACACATATATGTATATGTTATGGTGAATGATGTAATCGTGGTAAATTACGTCATTCCCCATTAAATGACAAAATTTACCTAAAAATTGGTAAATGTTGTAAATGTAGACATTCCCCTGTTATTTTCGTCAATCATCAATTAGTTGGAGAATGATTTTCAATACATTTAGGCCGGTGTGAACGATCATCGAATAAGCTTTGTTAGTTAAAAATATCACGACGGAAGAAGTTATATAAACGAAAATCCCAACTAGCAATAACGTCGTTAACCCGAGAAATAATATGGGATAATCTGTTAATTTATTAGTTAGTATCTACGTGCATATTATAGCGAGTTGTATATGCAACGAGCATGTCTTATAATATTATTTGTAAAAATGTATGTCACCAGTGAACAAAATATAATAAAAGTTAGATTAAATTATAGCGTTATAGTTTTATTTCATTTTAATATTAAAGTGTGGATAATAAATTTAAAGCAGCGATTGACAAAATTGTCAACAGTAAAAAGAGAGGCGATAATATATTTTATTTTAGTTCTGAAGAATACAACAACTAGATTCAAAAAAATAAAAGAATTAAAAACTGGAACAATAAAAAAAAAACGGTAACGAATAATAGACTTATACGTAAATATAATATTGTGTCAATTGGGGGAAAAGAAAAATTGATTAAACGTATAGTTGATAATGAATTTGACGTTTTATATTACGTCACAGTGGACGAGTTGTTTGAAGTAATTCACACAACACATTTGGCAGTAGGGCATGGTGGTAGAAATAGGATGATGGCTGTGTTAAAAACAAAATATTGTAATGTCACAACGGAGACAGTTATTGCATATTTAGGTTTATGTAGTAATTGTCAAGTAAAACAATCAAATCTAAAAGAGGGCTTGTGACCAAACCAATTCTACATTCCGCATTTAATTCAAGGGCGCAAATTGATTTGATTGACTTGCAATCGCAATTACATTTGTTATTTTAAAATCTTTGAAGACAAAAAGGGTCGAAAAAATCGCTTTAAATCTGATAGATATTTTTACAATATTTGGTGCACCCGCTATATTCCACTCGGATAATGGTCGTGAGTTTGTAAATTCTATTATAACAAATTTAAATGAAATGTGGGGAGACATCAAATTGTGCATGGCAAGCCTCGTTTTAGCCAGATCCAAGGATCAATTGAACGGGTGAATAGGGAAGAAATTTTGGCTTCTTTGATGGCTGATAATAAATCAAAAGACTGGCCAATGACATTAAAATTTGTGCAATTTAAAAAAAATTGGGTTTTGAACTCAGGTAAGCTATTAACTAAAAACAATTTTTTTTTTTTTTAATAATTTTAATTTTAATTAATAAATTAATTTTTTTTAAATTTAAACATTTTTACAATAGGTATTAGAAGATCGCCATATGAGGCAATGTTTGGTAGTATTGCGAGAACAGGGTTTTCTTCAGCAGGGATACCTTACGATGAAATAGAAAAACTTAAGTCAGAAGAGGATATTGAAAAACTATTTAATAACAGAATACGGAGTACAGAAATTTAATAACATATTACGAGAGGTCGCAGGGCATGGAGTAGCTGGTCATCAAGGCTTTAATTAATGCAACTGCAAAACTGGTTGAGGGACAAAAAAATGTGCTTGCAATGCAGCATGAAATGTTGTGCAGTTCAAAATGTCATGGTAAACAAAATTGTACAAATAAATAATTTGTAATATGCACGTATTTTATTATTTTCAATTAACCAATAACCTTTCATCCAAATAAATACCTACAGTAATTAAATCAATGTATTATTTGAGATTTATCATGATTTAACATCAGTTTTGGTAAATTACCTCAATGATCGGTGAAAGATGTACATTAGAATTTAAAATCTGGTTTTTTACATAATTTACCATAATCGAATCATTTTGGTAAAAGATGACATTTACCGGAGAATGACGACATTTACCAACATTTATTTTTCACCGTAACATGTATATAGATATAACATACATGTATGTATGTGTTGTAGTTCCATACAATTTGGCACCTAACAACTATGTAAAATAATAGTGACAGCATTTTATAATGATGTTTATTAAAATTTGTTAAAATGTTTAACTTTTAACAATAACTTATTAGGAATAAAGAATATGGCACGAAATATTAAATTAATTCTTATAAAGCATTCAAGTTACATTCAAGTTATAATCAATATAAATAAAAATACAAGACAATAATCATCTCAAATAAATTTATTAAAATTTTTTGATATTGTAAGATTTAGTTGATATAGTTGCAAAATGTTTTATATTTAGTGTACATAACAATTATGTTGTGGTATGTACAAAAGGCACAACCATATGTTAATTTATATTTGTATGTATAGGCCAGGGGTCTCTGGGCATCATGGTTTTCAAATTTTTTTAAAAAAATGGCTCTTTTCTATGAAAAGTTTCCTGACCCCTGGTATAGGCTATAACATTAAACTGTTAGTATTTGATCTAAAATGTAATTTCAATTTATGTTATACACTCAGTTACACTTAAAAAATATAAAACATAATTTAAAAAATTATGAAAAAATATATTAAACTACTTACTCATTTTTAATAATTTCTAAAATAATGAAAAACAGATCATCCGACAAAAACAAAATTATATATTTAGCAAAATAATTATAAATAAATAGCCAATGTTCAAAAATTATCAACACATACATACTCTGAATGTATACATACATATATTACATTTATACAAAATATATATTACAATTATTTGAACAGATTTTAATTTGGACTATTATCACTTGCATTAACATTAAATTATTAACAATTAGTATTTTTTAATATTTTAGAATAGTTTTATTATTAGTTAAAATAATTTTATCCCAGAGGATTTTGAGTATACTCAAACTATATATATATAACTATATATTTACCTATGAAATTTAACTTAATAAAAATAGAAATTAAAAATGTTAGTATAGATGATATAAAATATTATTCAAAATATCTTTCAACTTTTGGTAGAAAGAAAGGCAGTACTTATTTTTACAGTTCCGTTGGTGCAGAAAGCCAATCAGATACAAGACTATTACTTATATTTAAAATTTTAAATTATGGTATACTTTTACCAAAACAAAACATAACATAATATAACAGGCTTACAAGTCATTAGAGGAACTCTCTGATGTTAACAGTAAGAACCCAAATTATTTTAATTGGTCAACTAGTCCGTAAGTTATTAAATCGAGAAAAAACAAACATAGTTATAACTATGACATATGGAAGAAAATATATGGATTGGCAATATTTAAATATGAGGTCTATATATAAAAGTTGAAATGTGCAACCCCAAAATGAAAATTGAAACATTTTCATGATGTATAAAAAGAATGTCCACAATATACGTTTCTATAAATAAAACAAAATATGATTAATTTGAAATGTGTGTTTTTATATTATTATCAACATATTTATGAACAAAGAAATACATTAAACTCTTTTTCTTAAGAAACAAAATAATTTTAAAGAAAAGTTATAATACATACTTTAATTTATTATTTTAGACATTTAAATTTAATTTTAATATTAAAAAAATGTTAGTAATTATGAATACTTATAGCTCATAAATATTTTTTAACTATTAAACTTTTACTTACGCCTGCGGAATTGGCATAGTTACGATAATGTTTATTGTAAATATCTTCCACGGCCAAGTAAAAAGGTACTGAACACAAACTAACATAATAGCCTGTATAAATGCCATGCCATAAAGCAGAAATACCAAATGCAGCCAATGTTCTTCAATAAAATATATATTTTAATTAAATATATTCAAAATGTATTTTATATTCAATTACCTAAAATTTTTAATAGGAAATCTTCTATAAATATATTCAGCTATCCAATATTGTATGGTCATATTCCAAATTCTAGTAGCACCACGGACCGTAGAGATAGTTTCTACTTTCATGATATCAATGCTTTCAACACAATCAAAGTTATAAATTTCTTCTTTCTCAAAATGGCTGCATATATAATTAAAAATGTATTTGTAAGAAACATGCTCATTATAATTAAAAAAAAAAAAAAAAAAATTAAAGGATTTAAATACAATAAATAACATGCAAATATAAAAATAAAATCTTACTCTTTTTTTAATGATTCAAAATTTTTTGTTGGACCACATCCTGATTGTGGATCCGATATTGCAGGATAAGCACCCATTCCTGAAGCTATACAAATAAGCTCAGAAAAAATAAACCCCAAGTATAATCTTGTTCGAAATATAAAAAATGATGTATACATGTACCACAATCTGTATGATAGTGATGATGATTTATAAAATGATTCATTATAAAATTCCTAAAAAACATTTCAATACAAGTTGAATATAGCAATAGGTAGAACTAAGCAGTTTGACAATAGCGCTTAAATAATATAATAATAAATATAAATAAGTAAAATAAAAAGAATTAATCATACAGTAAATTTAGAAGTATAATTAAAAATTCTAACTCATTTAGTCTTTTAATTTACAAATGCAATACACTTTTAATGTAGAAATACAAATACTTTTTACAGAGTATTAAATTATAGGTAGAATAAGTAGATTATTTAACAGTAATACAATGATAATATATATACACATTATATATTTTTTTTATTATTTTTTTAATTTTTATTTCATCATTCCTAATTTTAAGAACTTTACTAAAGTAAAATTGTACTTTATCTTTAACTTTATCATTATTGTAAATTCTGTACATTAAGCTAAAAAAAAGTATATTATAACATATAATTTGTTTTTTAATTTATAATAATTAAATGTATTGAACAATTATTTAAATTGAATAAAATACATTACGTTCAAAGAAAAAAAGCCTTTTAGTAATTATTAGTTAGTTTTGAAATGTAAGAAATGTAATGATATTTACTTACATTTAATGGAAACATCCACATAGTTACCAAATAACAAATGATCAAAATGGGAATTACACGAACTTTTTTAAATATTATGTTTAGAAAAGCAGCTTTTTTCCAATAATGATGATTGAATAAATCCCAATAAGTACGATACTTGATATAAGGTCCTACAAAAACAGTAGTATTTTAAAAATTTAAATCTTATAACAAAATTTCTAAAATGTTTACCAGTCAATATGCCTATGTAACAAAAAGCATAATGAAATATTTCTAAAATACTTGGTTGATCAATAATTTTAAAATTTTTTTCAGCATCAAATTTTGTATCTTTTTGATTTGATATAATATAACTGTCATGAACTTCAAATGAAAGGCCAATAAGCTATTAAAATATTACTCATTATTTATGCATAATCAAATACATTATAAAAGTAATACATTTATTATACTTACATAAAAGTAGAATGGATAAAAATATGATAAAATATTTATTGATTTAAAATAATTATTTGGAAATATCAATAATAAATTTATTCAGAGATTTATTTATGTTACGGTTTTGCAATTATAAGTATAATAAACAATAGTATTAAACTGTTTAACTTACTTTAAGAGTTAACATCATTTGTATTAAGTTAGTATGAGCAGGTGGATATGGTATACCGAAATAAGTTGTCATTCGGAAGAATATTAAATATCCAAAAGTAAATATAAAACTTAATATATGACAATGCCTGAAAAAGATTATTTTTCGATATTTCATCAATAATAGTATAGAAGTATAAAATAATAACAATAATCTTAATAATGTAATAAACGCGTGTATTAATTATAACTAAAACATTAATATCTAGATATTTTAAATATATTAAAATAAATATAATATAATATACATATGTTGCCAGATTTTGAAATTCCTAAACGGGATATAATATTGAATGCCTTATATTTTTTTATGTAACACCCTTATGGAAATAAAAATAAGTATAGCCTTTTGTAATTTAAATATTTATTAGCTAATTTAAAGATAAATTATTATGTATATAACCATGTTGATTAGATAATAATAATATAGTGTACATATACTCAAGGTTATATCTAGAAATTTTTTTCGGGAGGAGTCCAAAACATGTATATTGTAATTTTATTGAATTTAGATTTTAACTTTTGATACTTGGTTAAAAATAAGGCAGAAAAAGATTTAATCTTCTTTTATTAGTAATATATATATAAGTAATATCATGTTTTCATATGATATTATGATATAAAATGAAAAGCAGTCAATGATTAATTGGTGCTTAAGTCATTTTTGACTGAAAATATTTATGTCAGTATTAAATATAAATAATTATTTTAAACATTCGTCAAATATTGGAGACATTTTGGGGGGGAGGGGGTCCAGACACCCTGAACCCCCCAGATACTGCCTTGCATATACTAATATAGCATATAATTCATTGTATATAATATAATATAATATATTCTATATTTTATTATTAAATAATACAATATTAAATGTTATTTTTCCTCAATCAGGACACAAAGAACTACCTTTAAAAGTAAACTTTTTCAGTGGTGTGGTGTGAACATTTATTAACCATGATGCACAACATATATTTCAGTACCTACCCACCTACTTCTTTCCCTAGCATACCATCCTTGACATTTTTTTTTAAAAATATAAATTGAAAAAGACTAAAAATTATTAAAGACTGAATTACTTACCTACTTATATTTTTCAAACTCAAATTTTATATTAGCAAAATCTAATAGGCTTTTCCCTCTTTTATATTGAAATCAACTCAAATTAATTTAAAAAATATAGAATTTTTAATCTAATAGTCGTGTGTTATATTTTTATCGACTATCATGTATTTCACTGAATTCATTTTTCATGTTGATGATATGCTAAGACTTGGAAATTGGCTAAATGTGTATCCGTCTAACATTTTTAAACTTAATTTACATCTAAATCCAATCACATAATTCCATCCATCCATAAAATGTTCACCATAATGCCTAAGCGTCATAAAAACCCTTTCACCACACTACTATATATATATATATATATAAAATATATAAAAATCTAAGATTTGAATTGTTTTTCACTTATTCACTTTTATATGCTATTAAAATTATATAAAAATAAACGGTGATCATTTTATTTCAATTACCTACTTAAAACACTGATAAATTATTTGATATTGAAAAAATATAATAAATATTGATGTACCTTTTGTCAAATTGTATAAAAATGGCGTTGACTAGTGTGCATATGATTGGATGTGCTATGTGTAAGCCAGAAACTGCTAGTACAATAATTGCTCCAACTATAGTAGATAACCATTGTTTCACATTTTTATGTTTAACTTTTCTGAATAAAAAGCTAAATAAAAATGACAAGACTAGTAAGCCAACATATATAGTATCATCTGATAACATGATTAGTCGTTTTTTTTTACATCCACTGCGCCTTGAGAACAAATAACTTCATCTTCTAACAGTTCTATTAATCTAAACAACCAATAATTTATTTTGAATTAATAAATAATGTATTTAATAAAAATTAAAAATTGAATTTTAAATACGGTTTGTTTAGAATAAGTATTTAATTTAGATAATAAAAAATATTGTTATTGATACAAAAATCTTATTGGATAACATTTATCATGGCATAACGGATTAATAAAGTGTCAGTTCAATACAATAATTGATTAAACAAGCATAGTGCCACATTACTGTCACAGTATTCAAATAAAAAATGCTATATTAGGTGGTTTGTTTACAAATTTCAATATAAACACTCACATTAATATTAATATACAACAAAATATTCTAAGAAATAATCAAACCAAATAAGTAAAGAATACCTAACAATGCATATAAATATTAATAACATTTTTTCTGTTATGAGGTAGTTGATCATATATGTGAGCAATGAACTAATTACTGATAACCTTTTATACACACCGTGCAGAAACATTGGATAACAGAAAAGCAAATGATAAATACACATTTTCTTACCTAAATTAGCCGCGAATTATCAAAATAATTGAATATTAAGTTTGAGCCATCTAGTAAACAATTTTCAAATAGACGTTATTAAATGAATAGAAAATCTTAAATTGAGTAGAGTAAAACGACTATGCTATGCCAAGAAGATAAAAATGTAAATCAAAATAATGTTATCAATTGCGGCGTTTTGTGGTTATCAGCTGTAGATTAAAATAATTCGTCTTACATGATATAGATAACACGTAATAATTTATTTGTATGGTCCAACCACAGATATATATATGTGGGTCCAACGTACCATAGGTAAATATTATAAACTGTACATAGAGTACTGGAGACCATTTTTACATTAGCATGTCATAAATTTCTTTTTAAAAGTTAATTCTGTTACTTTAAGTTCGAACCTATGTTAGTGAAACTATGTCAGTGGTGTATTGGAGGGTATACTTGGGTATACGCCGTATGCCCGGATCTCTATTTTTGGATTTATGCGTATACTTTTAAGAAAATTCGTCTTATCATGGGTATACGCAAGCTTCTAATTTTTCATCACCATAAGGCATACATTATACAACAATATAGAATTTATTATTATTATTATTATTATTATTATTATTATATACTATAGCCACTATCCAAAAATAGCCTCGTGCTCGCATAAACTTCGATTAAATTTTCCCCGACTTCGGGTATTTGCATAGACGATCGGAAATTGCCGAGCGCCTACATTCTGTAACATCAGAATTTTAACAATACCGGTGGACGTATGCGATATTATATTGTCGAGCGGATATTATAATTGTTAAAAATAGATCGACAGTCAAAAAGTTCTGTTTATAAATTAATCACAATATTAACCGATCTGTCTACGATGTTTTGGATATATTGTGATTATTAATTATTATATTGTTGTCAGTTTGTCATTTAGTCAGTATTTATTTGTTACATGTTTGTGCAAATTATTTTAAATTAATACTAAAATATTATTACACATAATAAAACATTAGGTTTCATATATGATATATACCTATGAGTTAATTAAAAATAAGTTTAAAATGTAGACTTCCATATCAAGCGTGGATCCAAGGGGACTAAGGGGGTGCGCTCCCACTTCAAATCCCCCAAAAATACTTTTGTTGAAATTTTGTACCCCCCCCCCCCCCCCGGCGACATGTCGTTAATATCTGTTTAAACGAAAATGGTATCATCTGTTTTGCAAGACGCGACAGGTCGCGACGACTGAACTTTGGGTCGCCGCGACCGACGACACTACTGCTCATTGAGCAGTACCACGCGACACGTCGTAGCGACCATAGACAAATATATGGTATATGGCTATGGCATCAAAGTTAGTTTTTTCCCCATCGGACGATGAAATTCTTTTACAAGAAGTACAGGCGAATCCTATATTATATGATTTGGCCAATGCCAATTATAAAAATATAATAATGAAAGATAACATCTGGAAAGAAATATCCCTCAAGATTGGAAAATCTGGTAAAAAAATTCAAATTTTTTCGATTAAATAAAAAAATATCATTTTTTATTTAATTACTAATGTTTATAATTGAATGCAATTTGATAATTAGTGGACGATACAAAAAAGCGGTGGAAGAACATTCGCGATTCGTATTCCAGAAACAAAAGAAAGCCAGGAACAGGATCAGCAGCATCTAAAAAAAAAAGAAACTTAGCACCTCACCTTAGTTTTTTGGATCAAGTTGTATTATTTTTGAAATATATATTTTATATTGTTTTTAATGTTTGTTTATTTTATCAAATTATAAATAATAAATATTAACTATAATCTTGTGGAAAGTACATCTTTAGTGGCTTAGTACCTTACTGTTCAATTTTTTATCCAAAAAAACAAATAACCAATATAATTTTAATTTTGATACCCAATAGTAAAAAAAGTAAAACTATGGGCCGGTTTTAATAGTGCATTTCAAGAATGGGCTGCATTAATCTCTTGCTGCCCCTGAAACCGGAGGCTGCGCACGCCTATGATCCACTACAAACACTCAACTATAAATTATAATATACTTATGTTAATAATTATAATTAAAAAAAATTTTGAATTATAATTTAATTATAAATAAAGCATAAATACAGAGCACTTGCTTTTTTCCAATTTCTAAAACCAACTAAAAAGCTATCTTCAAAACTGCCACTATTTCCAGTAGGTACTAAAACTGCTATAAACAAAGCAAAAAATTGAATCTTTTGATATACTATATTCAAGCCATTTATATGTTTTGTAATGCTTATGATTGAAAGAGCGATTTTGTGTACTAAATTTAGTTAGTGGATATGACTGTAATACATATATACTATGTTTAGTGTTAACCTACATTTGTACTTACTGTTAAAATTGGTCACACAGGGCCTGTTATTCAAGTTCCCAAGTCGGAAATGACATTTTTATCTACAATATTTTCAACACTTTTTTGTGCAGTTATATCAATGTCTAAACCAATATTTAAATCTTCATTTTCAGATGCTAGTGTTGTTGTTGACGAGGAATTAGTAACAACTAATTTTTGTTTTTTAATATTAAATACATCAAACATTCTTTTAGCCATTATTGAATTAATTACATTTTATAATTTAAAATTAATTGACTGATTCAGATAAATACACAATTCACACAAATAATATAAAATTATATTGTTTATTTGTTTAACATGTCACTTACGGAAAACTACGCGTAGGTATTAAAAACAAAAAAATAAAAATATAGCGTATACGGTGATCGACTTGATCACCGTATACGCTCCAAAAATGTAATCGACATTAATGCAGTGATGGTCTGCAGCTTGCGTATTTATAACTTTACAGGTAGCGCAAACAAGTTCTAGAATATTCGCGATTATCAATATATACCTAAAAAATATGATTTTCTCAACAACGATAAGCCGTGAATATTCCAGACCATTCTCGTATCTCAACAAAATAAAATAAAAACTATAAACATTAAATATTGAAACACATAATTTTTTATTTTGACGTTTACATTCTGGGGGGGGGGGAACTTAAGCCCCCCCCCCCAAGTCCTCATCGATATCCGCCTATGATTTCAAATGAATCGATATGGTAATTTTTATTGTACGTTGAATTACCTAATTTTGCATCTTGGAACCGTCTTTGCCGGCGCTAATATATTTAAAAATCCTTTCTTATTGCACATCTAAAGTATCAGTTGAGCCACTATTTCAAATTATAAGTTCATATGATTTAAAATTTGAGTGATACTTGGGTTTTATACATATATAGATTGAAAAATGAATAGAAAATAATAAATATTTAAATAAAAAAATAAAAATAAATTAAAAAATGTTTATTTTTAAAAAACATTGAAAAATTAATAAATAATAATATATAAATATTTAAATAAAAAAATTAAAAAAAAATTAAAAATGTTTATTTTTACAAAACATTGAAAAATTTATAAGCATTAATAAGTATAGTAAAAAGAAAAAGAAAAAATTTATAAAAATGGCATTTAAGTCTTATATTCAGAATTACTGTTTGAACATAAGGTGTCTCTCGTAAAATGTTATTACAAGTTGTGGGAATCTTCGTTTAGCATCATCGTTGTATATAAACGAATAACAATTATATGGGCTAATCCACTTCACCAAAAACATTAATTCGTCATCGACTGTCTTTTTAGCTCCAATTATTTCCTCAGCATCATATAAATCGTGATTATGTCCAACCCTACAGTCCCGTTGAGTTTTCGCAGAGTTTCCATTATTGGATTTATGTAACAAACGAGGTATAAAACACATTGATCGTTGATTACATTTTCTCCATTCTTTTTGACCATTTGATTCATTTTTTGACTTTAAAATTCTGTAAAAGTTAATTTTTTCAATTAGTAATCGAATAGATAATTAAATATTAAAATAATTACATTTTTGCTTCAAAGAATATTCCATAAAATCGAATTAAAAATGTTAATATTGTTACTAAAATTATTATTATTATTTTTTTGGGTGAATTGCGGTCCGCGTACTTGTGACACATGGAAAAATCTAACTATATATATAGCGCGTTCACTCGGTCATTGTATACGTTTCACTTTTGGTCTAACATCCTCTTAAGTAAATTAACAGATCCCTCGAGTATTATTATGATGAATAAATATTAAGGTGATTCATAACCGATTAATTATTCATATTCGATTTAAAACTTCTACATAACTTAATAAAACATTTTAATAATTATAAAATACATAAAAATATAAAATATCATACATCTATTGCCTTCATATATCATCAATGAAAAAAATTCAGCTAAATTATTTTTCATCATTTTTTGTTATGACGGCTATGAGATTGTAATAAACCGTTGGTAATAAATTTTACTACGATGCACCCAATTCCTATCGTATTCCTATGAACAATAAAGTGTGCGGATCGTGTTAGAAGAAAAAAAAACGTGCGGAATCGTATTCCTCCCGTATATACTATATAGTTAATTATATACAAATTTAAAGTAATTGATTATAAATAATAAGCTTATTTCTTGTCGCCTCTGTGAATCGCAATGATTATTACAGATAACGATGACGCCACGCCGGTCAGGCATATAACCAAAGTGTACATGACACTAGGAACAAAATAAATCATTTTCATTGGGCAGTTTAAAATTATTATCAATTATAAAATTATACATGGATAAATAAATAATATTCAATAATATTAGGTACATTATAGCTGTGCTTGGTCATTTTAAAATCGCGGATGCACTCGGGCTATGAAAAAGATAAAAATTAAAAACGGGACGCACTCGGAAAACCCCCCATTTTACACAATAAATACCTTTTACTAAAATGGGGAAATAAGTTATGCATAAATATCTGTTCCTTGTTCATATTAATCAATAATAATCATACCATTGTACCATGCATAATAGTGTCCGAAAGTTATGCTTGTACGATTTATGATACATAATTATTAATATAATGACGTGTAATGATATTCGCCCGAAAGGCTCGTCCACACCAAAGCGACATGTTTTTGATAAGCATTTTAGTCTTGGACAAAATGCGGAACGAGAATGACGTGGCGATTGCCGTATCTGCTTGTGTAATTTTAAGTTTAGAAGCAAAAAAGGCTTCCAAAAAGAAATATTGTGTTCGTCCTGGTCTCTTAGCAAAGCAAAAATATAGTGATAATGATTTAATGACTGATGTTAAACGTGATGATATTGGTCTAGCTGGAGAATTGAGGTACGAGTAATAAGTAAAATTTACAAATTAAAATAATATTATAAAGAGTATAAAATTAACAAATTAAAATAATATTTTATCAATAGAATTTATTATAACTTGAATAATTTTAGTAAGTTGTAAACGTTTGTGATAATAATTCAAAATACGTATGTCAATGTATGTTAAAAATATGTTGAGTATTATTTATTTGTCGATGTATAATTTTAATATTGATAATAATTTTATTATCAAAATATCGGTGACGAAAAGCGCGATAAATATAAAATTTTGAACGGCCCAATGAAAATTATTTATTTTGTACCTGCCAAGACCATGTACACTTTGGTAATATGTCGCCGGTCATAGCTTTTTTAGCGGTAGGTTAGGTTAGGGATACACGATACTAAGGCAACACACTAGCGTCATTTTACAGCACCAGATTTTATTGCATGTAAGGCGCGGTAAAAACATCGACTAACACACGAGCGTTGTTACCGTACAATATTTCTCAACTTGGCGTTTTGAACAAAAATTCTTCAGTGTGTGATAACATGGCAGACGTGGTAGACGAAAACCTTATTTTGTTTTTAGGTTATCATTTATTAATAAAAATGAAAAAAAAAGATCAACAGGAAAATGTGGGTTTATCTTTTAGTCAGTTCTCGTCCATCCGAAAGTGCGTTTACTTTAATTTTTGAAGGACTCAGAAGTGATCCTGATAAGTTTTATAATTATTCGATTTTCGTCAATTTTTTTAATTTACCTATAATTTTTTGATTCTTTTTATCCGGCTCTTCAATTCCCGATTTCATTAAACAAAATATGTCTCTCCAGCATTTCCTTTTCTTGTTTCGGTCCGAGTATGAATCTAACGTCTTATCTCATAACAACGGCCTCTACTGATGTTATCAAAAGATCAACGTCTAAAATATCTTCTTCAAGAATATGAATTTCTTCATCTGTTGAGGACATGTTGAAATCCGTTGATATTACAATTTGGATAGTAGCAAAAACACGACTATTATAATTAACGATAAATAACTAACTGTCGCGCGATTATTACAGTCAATGTGAGGCCGCTCATTTAATTCAGTGCATATTAACAGGATATACCTATCGTGCGGTATTTTTAATGCACGGTATAATCAAGGTGCACGCGACAGTTTTCGAAATATCGCGCCATAATTTTACTGCGTGACACTCGTGTGTTGTGCTCTATTCATTTTAATGTACTTTAACAAAACGCGCTATAAAATTACGGTGCGGTAAAATAACGCTGGTCTGTTGCCAGCCTAAAGGTCCCACGGTAGCGGAGGCGATTTTAAAATCGGTGACCTGAACACATTGTGGCGGTGGCGGTGTCGATTTTTATCCAGTATAAATATAAAATATTCAGTGGCGCAACTATGGGTGAGGTTTGGTGGTTGTGACCCCACCTCCTTCCCGAAATTTTTCTAAGGTTTTTACAAATTCTACGTAGGAAAAAAAATAGTTTATCTTGAACACGCGAAATGACTGATCGATATGAAATATGAGTATTATTTGTATTATAATTGATAGAAATAATAACATGACAATATGGAAAGTTTTGTAACGTTCCGTTCAACTTTAAAACATCAATTACCTTACTACTACGATTTCTCGATAGCAAGGGCGTATTTTAGTTGAGGCCATGAAGGGGGAGAAAACTAATTTTTCTTCAATACAAATTTAAAAATAATTTACAGTTCATTACAGGGGCATATCCCAAGGGGGGTTTTCGGGTCCGGACCCTCCATTGAAATTTCTACATACTCAATGGTTTAATAGTGTATTTTAATTTTCCATTATCTTCAATATACAAAGTTTATAGATTATATAATATACCTATAATGTATAAACCATGTTTAATTTATATTGATTTTTTATTATTATTTATTATTGTTAATTAAATAAAGTATTTTTTTTAACATTTTACTACCAAATAAAAATTGATTTCAAGTCATAGTACTTGCCTATTATAGTAAACATTTGTGCAGAATATGTATGATGTGTGTATAACTATGGTAATTATTACTATAGTTAATAACAGTAATTTGTTGGTATTGAATTTAACTATGATTATAATAATTATAATTATTATTATTCTCTAATTATTAGAGAAGAATTATTATTATAATAGTAATAATATCTATTAATTTTTTAAAAACTTTAAAAAACACTTAAGATAGGTAACTTAATTTAACAAATATCTAAGTAGAAAACATAAGGTTGATAAGTAGTCAAATAACAAATTCCAAATTTCTTTTTTTCATTTTGGCAAATTTGTTGATAGTTTCATCAATGGATACTAATAATATAATATTATAATAATATAATAATAATACATATACAATAATGCACATACAGCAAAGCCAAACTTGTTAATCTATGCTGACCTATTCTTGATCTTAACCATGGTTTCAATTTACCAAAATATATTTTTGGCCAATATTTACAAGTTAAAGAATATGCATAGACGTGTCTTAAAATTTCGTGCAGATATGGCCAATTACATTTTTTATTAGGAAAATTGAAATGTTCATTTAGGATACGAAGACAAAGAGTGACTTATACACAATACACTACCTTGAGAACGTACGTAGTAATTGTAGCTAATACAGTAACGATAGCTAGTAAATAATATACTCACTCTCTTCAAAAAAATAAAAGGTATATAACATAAAATACAACTAGAACTACACGGGTACTTATAGCTATGGATATTAGATAATAAATATTATTGGTTAGTTTTTGTCACAGACATATTATACGTACATAATATTTTATATGAAAATATTTATTATTTAGTTCTGTTTTATTTAATCATTCTTTTTACTTTTAAGTAATTATTTTTAATGATTTAAGCATACATTTAAAACGGAGCAGGATTTTGCAGGTCTGGCCATTGCCAGAGTGGCCATAACCGTAAACACTCCCATGAGAATATGGAAACAAATATTGTCAGTTATTATGATTATTATTTGGGTTAACTAAGGTTATAGTTCTATAAAATACACAAATATGCATGCATTTGTGCACAAAAAAATGACTAAATACCTATGCACAAAAAAAAGTACCAGATATTATGTAGTTAAAAAAAAAAAATAGGCGAGTAAAATTATTAAGAACTTACATAGCTCTAATAAATACAAAAATATACAATATGCATAAATGAACCAAAAAAATGATTAACTAGTAAATATGTGGTAAAAAAAAGTGTTACTTTAATTTACTTTATATTATCTGATAAATACCTCGGTTATGGTTGTAAATGTCTATAAACATAGCAATATCTGTGTGAAGATAATACCACTATTCGTTCTACAACCAAAAATGTTATGATATATGAAGATAAACAAAAATTGATACCAGTGATCAAATTGAAATATTATTGAATTTATTATCATATTATAATATATATATATATATATATATATATTATAATATAATATAATTATAATGATAAACTAGTAATTTATATTCTTAATTATTTATACATTACATTTTTTAAATAAATCAATGTATTATATTCAAAAAAAAATATGAGTCACGAGGGGGGGGGGCGAATGCCCCCTTCACCCCCTTCAAATACTCCCTTGCTCGATAGTCGGTTTTATAATACTTTTTTTGTGTATCACAATTTGAAAAAGAAGTTAAACAGTTTAATTTGTAATTTAAATACTTTACTTATAAACCTAACTTAATCTTACTTCCTTAACCCCACCAAACACCTGCAGAAAATGCTTATTTTTTCCAAATATAAAACGATAAAACGAATAACGTTGTAAATATTCTAATAAATTACACAAATTGAAATATAGAGAACAACTGCTATTCAAAACATCCGAAACATTTTTAACATCAGTTTTGATATCAACACACAAGCCCGTATTTAGGGTGGGTACGAGTAGGCACATGCCCGGGGACGTCAAAATATTTTACCAAAATTAATTTTAAAAAATTATGTACCTAATGAAAAAAAATAAAGTAATAAAAAAAATAAATTAGAATGTTTTATTATGTTTTATTATATTATAATTTACTTAATTTGTTAAATAAAAAAAGTATTAAACGATTTTCATTTATAAATTATATTTTAATATTAAAGAATCTCGATTATGGACGAAATAATAAGTATTATATTATTATTATTTATTTTTTTTTTGGGGGGAGGGCATAAATTATATGCCCGGGGGCGCCAAAATTTTTAAATACGGGCCTGACAACTCATATGAATATTTGACGTTTGTTATAACAAGCAAAATATTTTTGGTGAAAATCATACGATTATTTTTCATCTACAAGTGTTGATAAAAAAAAACACAGGACGGCAATAAAAACAGTCAATAAAGATAAGATAGATAACTGTCATACATTTGATATCGATGATGTGCGGAAAAAACGTACCTAAATAAGTATGTTAATAATTTATATAGTAATATTAATAATAATAATAATAATAAATAATTAGGGCTCGGAAGTTTTTGGATTTGTTTTTTTTGCACGATTGGATTTATTGCTAAGTGAGCTAGAAATTTATTCCAAAACACTACGAAAAACATATCAAAAGTTTATAGTGCATATTTTTGCATATTTAGTGATTTTTAGATATTTTGCATATTTCTTGATTTTACAATTTTTTAGAGCATATTTTATAGTTTTTGAAGATTTAGTATGAAAATTTGAAAAATAAAAAAATACACCTATCAAGTAGGAACAGCGAAGTATCAAAGTATGATGATTTTCTATAAATACTTTTCTAGGAAAATAACTCAATGATTAAAGAACATTCTTCCGGGGAATTTTTTTTTATTCAAGAAACACTTTTAAAAGGACGCTATACCCAAAGCGAAACGGATAAAACGACCGATAGGAAGCGCTATTAGATGTTTTTACACGGCGCAAGCACGTGACGTACGCACACAGTTATAGTTATTATCGCGCGATTAACAAAACGATCTAAAAATAATCAACATGCGGGCGAGTATTTTATTGTTTTATGAACTGTCTTAGAATGCGGATAATGAAAAAATAATATATTGGTGATTATAATAATATTACCACAATAGTCAATATTCGTATGATTTTCGCGCCCGCTTATGAACTAATTGATTAAGATTACTGTTTCTTATAATGTGTACAGAAATAACTATACTAAAAAAATGTCGGATAGGCTATATTACAATAATATTTACATTGAAATAAAAATATTATAAATTAATTATCTACTGATTACTTAGTACTTACTTATACTATTATAAAATATATTATATTTTTTTTTGTCGTCTATACATTATAATACCAATATACATAATACCAAATTTATAGCAATAAGCTAAACTATTTAAATGTTTAAATAGTAGTTTTCTAATTGGTGAATGTATTACGTATATTTTACGTTATAATTGTGTAGGTGTATATTATATATACTTGCTATTGTTAAAGGTGTATTGAAGTAACCAAATTACATTACAGGTAAAATCTATAACCAAATAGAATATAACGTTGCTATACACATTTTAAGTATTAAAAATAAAAACAGTATGAAACGTTTATTATAATAATAATACGATTTTTTAATTTTTTTCAATGAAAATGTTTTAGGTACTTTAGGTACTAAAGCTTACTATTTAGAGTAGGGGTCCTTAACTCGCGCCCACTTAGTATTTTTTTGCGGCCCGCGATCACATTTTAAGTATAGCATGCATTTTGAAAAAAACTAATGTGGCCCCCTGCATAAAAATGAGAAGATCCCTGATTTGGGGTATGTTAAGTCTAAGGGTACCTCTTCGCTGTCGTTGCCGTAAACGTAATTATTTGCTTATTAAATTAGTTTTTATATAAGTAGTAATATTGTAATACGGGTGTTCTATATTGCCTGTACACCTAAGTACTTTTTATTACAATTTATACATTGTACACAGCATATTATTGTGACAACTCTATTTTTTTTTATAATAGCATTGATTTTAGAATAATATACTGGTAGTAATAACTAATATTATATTATTAGTATCTTTAAATATATAAAATGGAAAAATAATTTATGTCGTACGTTGACTATTTTTATTGCATTCGTTTTGGATTTGATTTTTCATGGAAGCGATAACGATTACGAAAGATAATTTATTGAGCACTTGAACCACAGATATCTATATTAAATCTATATTATAATATAGATATCTGTGACTTGAACGGGTGAATTCAGAACAGCGATAGTAGTGGGAGAAGTTCTAATTTCCGACAACGCCGCCGCGACCACATTCTGCCACCGTTTAAGGTGGCAGCACATGACTGATATATAAAATAAAATCGAACGACAAAAACATGATCACGGAAAACTAACAAAAAGACCTCTAAAAGTGATTTGAAAATTATTTCACCTATTACTTTATTTGAAGACAATAATATTTCAGAGTGAACCTCATAAGAGTTTTTCATTATTTCGAATGAATAGTTCTGTATGATAAATACAATAAAGCAATTTTTTACTTTTTTTAAATCATTGTAACTTTTTTTCTAATAAATATTTTTAAAAATGCGTATGAGGTTCACTCAGAAATATTATTCTTTACTAATTGTAAAATAGGTGTTTTCACCCTAAAGTTTAAAAGGCATTTTCGTTGGTTTTCCGTAAACATGTTTTTACTAGTCATAATAACAGGTGTAGCGTCCTCTTAATGCTGATTTATTATTATTTTTTTAATCAGAATTATTTTTAATACTTTTCTTTTTCTATATTTATAAATTTATAAAATATTTGTGCAAATGAAAATGTTGAGTACAATAATATAATAGAGCATATTTGTACTTTTTAAGCACTTAAGTGCATGCATATTTAGTACTTTTTAAGTGTATTAAATTCCGAGCCCTAATAATAATATTAAAATTTTCCTAATAATATTAATAATAATAATAACAATAGCAACTCTTACTTGGGCGGCACTTGACCGGTGAGGCGTTTCTGTATGCGCCTGGCACTTCCTTCAGATTTCCCACGCATGGTGCTCGAACAATGATCGGATGGTGACTGTTAGTGATGGGCGTCATCGAGATATACATTCGAGATATCTCGATTATCAAAATAATAATTCGATTATACACCCGAGAGATTATTTCGATTGATATCTTGTTTAAAAACAATCAATTCTTGATCTCGAAATGTATATCGAATCCCCCCCCCTTCAAAACTTCCAATCAGTAAATAATCAATAATCGTTATCAGAAAAAAATTGTATGTATGTACTACTGATAACAAAAATGACTTTTTAGTTAAAACATACACTGCCGATGTAAATATATTTATTTTTTTCGTCAGCCCATTATTAGTTCTTTAAAGTTGAAATACCCTCCATTAATAATCTATACCTACGCCTTTGATACTACCTATATACCCAAAAAATTAAGTAGTCTTCTAACTTAAAGCTTAAAATTTACACATCTCTAAATTTTTCAATTCAATTTTCATATATTATATATAACTATGTAATAATTTTGTGTAGATAATCAGTTAAACATTAGATAATAGTTCTGATAGTAAATTACCGGTTAGTGTGACTCGTAGCATAGGTAAACAGACGATGCACAAATGATTTACGGTCGCGCGCTACTATAATCGTGTCGCGGCACGACCGCCGTTTTCAGCCGCGCGAGTGTTTTATTATGCTATTTTTAAACGTAGATAATTCTAAACCAGTGGTGTAACAAAAAATTTGAGCCCCCATGCAAAAATAAAAAATGGGCCCCCGAAATATTGTTTAGGTAGGTATATTAGTTTTAAACAATAATCTGATATAGGTAAATCACTTATTTTAATTAAAATGTTGTTATGATATGATAAAAAACAATAATATTTATTTAATATTAAACAATTATTACAATTATTACAATTATTATTTATTATTAATTATTTGTATAAATAACTAAATTTTACTGAATTATTTAGTTTTGTTTTAGTTTTGTTTTGTTTTGTTTTGTTTCACACCAATAAACCTACGCCATATGAAAGACAAAAAAACTGAATTATTTTACTTACATTTATGCGATCTTCTAGCATTTTTTTGGGCAAACTTATCAACTAACATGTTTATGTCTAAACTGAACATTATCTCGTTTTCAATACTTAATACATTTAAATTTGATAATGCCATAGTACTTCTTAAATCAGCGGTTCCCAAACTTTTACAATCACGTAACCCTTAAAAAATAGTCTGTCTTTTGTGGAGCCTAATGTCTTTAATTCTAATTCAACTACAATTGTTCTAAAAAAAAAAAAAAGGAAAATCAATACTCTAAAAAATGTTTATGATTACTCTTTATTCAAATTAGTTTAAAAAATATTTTTTTAAATATCTAATATAAAATAATATTTTTTCCAAATATAATATAAAATAAGTTTCTCAACAATCATATACATCTGGCAGAACCTTTAATATGTCCCACGGAACACACTTTGGGAAACGCTGTCTTAAATAACTTTTAATTTAGAGAACAAACGTTCTGCTGTAGATGATATTACTGGTATAGTAAGAAATAATTTTAAAAAGATAGCTACTTCTGGAACACCTGGTAACATCCAATTATTTTGAACAATCAATAAGTCAGCTAATTCTTTGGCGCTTGAAACTTCTTTTATATTTTTAAATAGCTACATTCCGAATAAAAATATTTGCTGTACAAATGGTATAGACAAATCATTTGAATACTGTTCCACTATAATTTTAGCAAAATGCGTCAGTTTTGTATCTGAGTATAATGCTAAATTGTTGGGAAAAATAAATTTAAACATATTCACAATATTATTCATACCTATAAAAGATGCACGAAGTTGTAATGTCTATATTTGTGTAAAATACATTGATTTTGAAATTATTTTCGGGATCGGTTAATTGTTGGTCAGTACAAAGTTCGTCAAAAAAATTTTTTGATTGTCTGTTTCTTTTTTCGAAAACGATGTATTTATGCCACAGTTTTCTGCAATCGTGATTGCTTCAAATTTTATTTTTATTAAATTTATATTTAAAAGAAGATCCCACCTTTTTATACTTCAACTAAAAAACGTATAAAATTGTTGTATATAATCAAAAATTATCTGAACCGGTTAAACACAAACTACATCTTTTAGTACTAAATTAAAATTCTGGGCGGCACAATGAACATAAACAGCATTCAGTTCTCTTTCACAAATTTGATTTTGCAAGCCATTGTATACGCCACTCATTACGCTTGCCCAGTGATATCATTGACCTCTACATTTATTTGTATATTGTTTACTTCAAAAGATTTCATTATTGCATCTTCCATTTTTTTAGTGCTCTGGTCTGAAAATATTTCGTATAATAGATTATTATAAACATAGATTAACACTAATTTAATTTGAAAAAAAAGCAATTATTCAATTTTTTTTTTTTACGGGAATTAAATTTACTTTAACCAAAGGCCCCAAAATACCGTGGGCATAGGCGTAAACTGGGGGGGTGAGAGGGGGCAACTGCCCCTCAAAAAATTTAACAAGGCGATGCCCCCTTAATATTTTACAAAAATATGTATTGAAAACTATTATCAAAAAGGTATTGTAGTATTGTAAGAATTATTTTCAAGAAAAGTGAAAAATGTAGTATTTTAAGAAGATTAACTAAAGAAAAAAAATGAATTGATTACTCAAAATGTATTTATTTATTGTCATTTACCAAAATGCGATATGCTATCGCAATACATCATAACAGAATCTATTATCATAATTATCGAGTAAAAACGATAGAGTAATATTACTATCTATGATAAAAATCACGCTAAAATCACTTAGTGAGACTCATAGACGTATTAATATGTCTAAGGTGAGAGTAGATGGAGTTGGAGAATATAAGCTATTCGTTCTGTTATAAATAATTTTAATTCTATTGTTTTAACGTTAGAAAAAATAAATGAAACAGACTCTATTCATGGCCCTGATGCAAATTCAATATTAAATAATATCAGACTTGGGTAAAATACTTTTTAAAAGTATTTAGAATAAATACTCGAATACTTACAAAAAATAGTATTCCGAATATGTATTCAAATACTTTATACAAATTTTATTTCGAATACATTATTTAGAATACTTCAAAAGTATTCCGAATACTTTTAAAATACTTTTAGTTTTCAAATATATTAAAATTAATAGTTATCCATTCAACAGAAATATTTGAAATTGTAGACTAAATATATGTTATTTTATTGTATTTTTACATTACATAACTGTTGTAGTTTATGGTTTACAATAATAATAAAAACCTGATTTTAGCTTATACGAGATACGACGGAGAAGTAATAAAATCATGGTATTGACGGTATTCGAAATACAGTGTTCAGAATACTCGTTATAAGTATTCAAAATAATTTATTGAATTCTCTCAAAAAAAGTAGGTATTTAAAAAGTATTCGAAATACGTAAAAAGTATTCTGAATACAGTATTCCGAATATTGTAATCGGAATACTACCCAAGTCTGAATAATATTCAAAACTTTGAGTTTATATTTTGTTTGAAGTTAATGAAATTAGTGTTTGAATTCACTAACTCCTTGTCACTACATTTTCAAAAAAAAAAAAAATGTTAACTTCTCTACTATTTCATTATTAACAGCAGCTACTCTTAAGGAACTACAATCTCTTTGCAGTGATGATAGTTTCGATCAAATTTGGATGGAAACAGAACAGCTAGCTTCCAAAGAATGTATTTCACTACCCATAATTCCAAGAATAAAAACAATACCTTTAAGATTAGGTGGTGGTGAAACTTCGATTTCGAGAAACGTTGCATCGTATTTCAAAATTAATATTTATTTTCCTGTGTTAGATATAATTATAAATGATATAAAAACAAAATTTGCAGAAAACAATTTAAAAATACTTAACGCTCTTCAAAATTATTTAAGCACTAGATAAAACAGGGATAAAGATATTTTAGAAGTTTGTAACACCTACAATATTAACTTCGTGCCTTAAAGGTAGAATTAATGCTCTTTGGGAAAATGTGTTCATCAAATAATATTGCTGAACAATTTGAAGCCCATTTTAATTTGTATTTGGAAAAAGACTTAATAGGCTCATTTGACAATATTAATTTTATTTATAAATTTTTTCTTTCTATTCCAATGAGTTCTGCATCGAGTGAACGTTCGTTTTCATCACTTCGTCATTTTTTGCATTTGGCAATTCTATGAGCAACTCTATAAGACGCTAAAAGAGCTTTGGAAGGCACAGTTGTAATGTTTTTAAATGTTTGTTGAGTAGATCGAAAGTTGATAAGCTTCCGAGCAAAAAATTCCTTAGGTTTATTAACTAGTTCAGCATGTTTTGTTTCTAAATGCCTCCTTAATTTATTAGGTTTCATGCTATCAGATGCTAATATAGTTAAACATACTACACACTGAAGCCGTTCTTCACCATTTATAGAAGTTTTAGTAAATCCGAGAGATAAATAGTTTTCGTCATACCTTCTTAATTTTGAGTTCGACACTGGGCTTGAAGTACCAGTGGCTGACTCGATGTTTACACTACTGACGTTATCCCTCTTAATTTTATTATTGCTGCTTGATGTCGAAGCACTAGTTTGATCACTTATCAAAAATCTTTTCATTATTAAACTTACTATATAACAAGTAGGTCTAATACCAGAATAATCGAAATAAACAAAATTTATTTACAAAGACGTACTCACATGCACAAGGTAGCATACACAATAGCAAACTGTCAACGTTATACCACCGCAGCCTTGTCACATAGTTCAACGCGTAAAACTGCGTTTGTTTAAAAATAGAATGACGGCCAATAGTGGTTTATCGATAAAACAACTAACCTTTTATAGATAATAGCTCTTGTTGATTGTTGCTGTCTGTATGTGATGTATAAATATACCGAATTATATACAATACAGGTTTTTAAATTTTCTTGCGCCCCCCCCCCCCCAATAAAGCTTTCGCGGCCCCCGGAGGGTCGCGCCCCACAATTTAAGAACCTCTGCACTAGACAATGTTATTTGTCGTTCTTGATCAGTCGCAATTTTCATTTCCTCAACAACAGTATCTTTGACTGAATTGCTTACGGTGATTAAATTACTCATATATAAAGTAGATGATATTGAAGGTATTTCTACTGATGCATAAAACTCACTTAGTTAAGTGTGACCGATTTCTCACATTTTAATAAAAAGACAAAAGTAATTATATTGATTAATTAATATGGATTTTATCTATATTTATTTTTAAAATTATAAGAGAGTATGAGACTTGGTTTATTATATATAATAGTACATTAACATGTTTAAAAATAATGATCGACAATAGCGACCGATAACGAACGTCTAGTGTTTACGTAGTTATTTTCAAAAATAGATTACCTATTACTGTAAACGCCAATTGAGAACACTCAATATCTTTGCGTAGAGACCTGCAATTCGAATTCTGATTTTTTATTGGTTTTTATGACATAAAAATGTGTATTTTTACGAATTTTTAATTTTTTTAACTTAAATAGACACGCGCATACGCAGTACAACTTCTTTTTCTTAAATGGCAACTATCTATTTTAACCACTAATTATTTTTTACCTATTTTTTTAATAAATGTTGGTAGTTAAACTGACTTTCTAAGTCCAAAATTGACAAAGTTACAGTAATTTAACCAAAAAACTGTAAAATGCACGCGATTCTAAATTTTTTTGACTGTAACTCTGAAAATAATTATTCTAGAATTGTTAAGGCTTGATATTTTTACTCTTATTTATTAAAATGATATTTACACGATGTTATAATTTTATCTACTGCATAACTTTCACTTTATTTTGGGTATGTATTATAACTTATAGTAGAAAAAACGTAAATAAACACGCATGTTGTTTATTTCGTGACATCTAATGGATCTAATGGAATTTATCAATAATTAACAATAAGCAGGGGCGGATTGGCAATTATTTTCGGCCTAGGAAATATGAAACAAACCGGCCCATGAACTGAAAAATAAACTATTTGTGACATCGTACATCCGTACTACATAAATAAAAGTCGACATCTTGAACTATTTTACAAAAACATTTTGTAATTTACAGTTTACAGCTTTACAAATATGTATTACCTTATAATAATATGTACATTATCAACTTTTATCACCAAAAAATACTAATGATGTTACTTTTGGTGTTAGGTACCACAAATGACTACACATTTCTTTTAATGTTAATTTTGAAATTTGTATATCAATTTTAAGGAAAGCTTTGTTAATGTAATTAAAATTTTTATAATGTAAACTTTAAATAATCAAATATATAATGTATTTGTATAATAATTACCTATAATAATACTACTGCTTTATTACAATTTACTTTCATTTTTATTTTATTAATTAGAGACTACCTACGAATAATTTTTCCTTGTAATAAATTATTATAATTTGGAGGGCCCTCTTGGTGACTATATCAGTCACCTAAACCTAACCCGGGCCCTTTAAAATGGCCAGTCCGACCCTGCGTCCAAGCCACCAGCCGCCACTGCCCGCACCTCATTACAACACCAACCATAATTCAACTCCCTTCGCCTACTTCATCCTGTTACGGGAGCGTCACAATATTTGCGTACAAACAACACCAGTGCTGCACAGCGATTGCAGCCGGATATTGACATGGCATGGGCCTATCTGTTTATTCTGTATTGAATGACTATGGGTATTACCACAGAACAAGATAATTAATTGCCGAGAAACGATATAATTAGCATTATACGGATTATCTTTTCAAAGTGTAAATATTATCTGCTACATCTTAATTCGTTGTCATTAATATAATGTTATACATACGTTATATATACGTTATTGGATAACCCTTAAACCGTGACGATGCGTTTTTGGTTTAAAAATAATTTACACTTCCACATCGTACACCGCAACGCTTGAAATTAATTCATTGACTATCTATGTACAATATTTATTGTATAACCGATTATTATTACCATCTATGTTAACATACATAATTTTTCAACCATTCAAACCGATTCTTCGTTACATTCGTTTTTTCGCTGTCGTCATTTTTGATTTTCAACCCGTCGTGCTCCCAATTAATTCTAATTACATTTTTTTTTGGTAAAAATCAAGTTTGTAACAACATTGTATAATAGCGTTCGCTATTAAAACGAATAGGATAGTTATATTCCGGTGTATTGAGTTTGCCTTTTCTTGGGTCGTGTTTGTTGACGTTAAAAGTTGGAAATTTCATTTCGTTTCGAAACATGACTTCTATTGACATCGATGAAGTAATTTTTAATCTGAAAGCAACCATCACGTCGAGTAAAGGAGGAGTTCTTTTGAAGAGTATCGAATGTGAGTATATTTACCTTTTCAATTTAGTCACATTTTTCATCTTAACAAACTGAACTCACGACTTAATTGACTTATACTGTCTGTATTGTATCAGCGGTGACAACAGGTTTTTTTTTTTTTTGGAAAAACTAACAGGAGGTCAAAAATTACAAGGCTTAACTATTAAAAAATATTTAAATTTTAGCATCGTGATTTTTCAGAAAAATATCCATGTCCCTAATTATATTTAAAGTCTCGCCAGTGGTAGGGCATGGTATTTTCTATCAGCTACAGTTAGTTTCATTCTTGATATTTATAGATCACTTTATTTAATGTAATAGTTAACGAACCTTAAATAATTACAATTGTTGATCTTATTATAATTGTAATTAAAATTATATGTCTAACAATTGGTATTAGTCTCATGTTCAAAAATTGAGGTCCTGTTACTATTTTTCATTAAAAACATTTTAGATTTAAAAAAATTATTTTGTTGTATACATCAATAACACTATCTGTTTTGTATTAAATATGTATTAATAATTTTAGCTGATTACCATAATATCAATGGCACATGTATACCATATCGAGAATTAGGATACAGTTCTTTGAAAAAATTCATTCAGTCTTTCAAAGTATTTAGGATAGATGAATCAAGAAATGATCCAATTGTGAATGTTGTTAGTGATGTTAAAACTCAACATCTACAAGAAATGATTAAAAAACAAAAAACTACAAAAAAGGTACGAAAATAACAAAAACAAGCATTATTCAAAATTTATTTATTTTGAAATAATTAACTAAGTCAAATTTTTTTTTATTTTTATTTTTTGTAAACCATACGGGCTTGTAAATAAGTTTTTTATAACTTTTGCTTTAGTTATATTTAATTTATATATATATATATAGGTATTTGATCATTTAAATTAATGCTAAAAAAAGTGATATTTGTTATGTTTAGAATATTATTTATATTATTAATTGAGATTACTTTCTATATTAATAAATATTTTTTTTTAGTCTAAATATAAAAAAAAACCTAAAGTAATTCATAAGAAATTCACTAGCGACTATAGTGCAAATGCTAAGGTTAGTATCTGTTTATATATTTTTTTTTTTTTAATTTTTTATGTGTTGTACAAATATAAAAAGAATAACTTGAAATTAATTAATTACATTCATAAAATATAATTATAAATTCCATTGTTATTTATGTTTAAAATATATTTTATTTGTTTTTGTTTATTAGCAACCTTATAAAAGAAAAGTAGTTTCTAATATTCACAATTATACTTCTGCTGTTTCTTCTACAAACACACTTGACTCAAAATGGCTCAAAAACTATGAAGTATGTATAATACTTATCATCATATTTATTATTTATTTAATTGTTTACATATTACATATGTTATGTAAATATACAATAATAAAAATAACTTAAAATTAAAAAAATTACTCTTATAAAATATATTTTATTTGTTTCTATTTATTAGTTACCTACTTATAAAAGTAAAGTGACAACTGTTTCCTCTAAAAATAATCATACTTCTGCTGTTTTGTCTAAAAGCAAACTGGACTCAAAGTGGCTCAAAAATGATGAAGTATGTATAATCATACTTTTGTATTTATTATTAATTTAATTTTTTACATACTAAATTCTACGTGAATATATTGTTATAGGAATAACTTTAAATTAACTAATTATTCTTAAAAATATATTTAATTTGTTTTTATTTATTAGTTATGTACATATGAAAGTGGAGAAATTCCAGTTTCCAAAATTATTAATCAGACTTCTGCTGTTTCTTCTAAGAAAACATTCGATTCAAAATTGCCCAAAAATGAAGTATGTACAATGCGTATCTTATTATAAATAACTTTAAAATTAAAGTAATCAGATATCTAGTACAATTAGGTTCTGTGATACTTTTAGATGGGGCTTATCAGTGGAAAAAATACTTAATAATTTGTTTTTGGATAAAAATTGTATTCCATTATTAACTATTAATTGTATTTATTATAATATTATCAGCTCATAGGTAAATTGCAATTATTTCTTTTGAGTTTAAATAGTATATTGTGATGGTGAGATGAACAAAAATATTTTGGTTCTACAATTGTTTTTTCTTTCTCAAATTAAAAAATTTAAAATTACATTTATAAATATTATATGATTCAACTATTTTTTATATTTTTTCTAAGAGCAAATTATCTTTTAGTTTCAATTTAATGGACTTATTTGGTCAATGATGTCCTAATGATTTGTAATAGGTTTTTTAATTCCATAAACAATTTAATTTAAACCTAAATAGCAGTGGTGCTAAATACACTATAAATGTGTGACAGCAATTACACTTTTTTATAGGGAGTAATGTGTGAGTATTAATATTATAGTGATATACTTGTAACTTAATATTCCGATGAAATTATTAAAAATTTTTAACCGACAGTGGAATTTTGAACTAATTATTTTATTAATGTAATACACAAAAATGTTTATGAATTTGTTATTTTTCAATTATAAAAAACTTTTATAATATTTATTTTATTTTTATTATATGAATAAATTTGTACCTAAATAATTTTATGATGTCAAAACTTACTATTGAAAAACCAATATTAGGTATTTTATTATTTGATTGATTAGTATATATAGCACTCGTGTAATTTGATTCTTAGTATCATTTTATTTTTTGGTAAGTGGGAAATTTTGAAATTCTATGAAATAAATGAATATATTCTCAAGTATATAACAAAAAAAAAAAAAATACGTCATTGGTCTGTAATGATTTCTAACTCCCGTGGGTTGCATAGACTCAAAAATATTATTATTCCGACCTCTATTCATAAGAAATTCTTTGTAGCAAAAAAAAAAAAAAACTGGAAAACCACAAAAATGTTTTCCAAGTTTTATACAATGTAATATTGATGAAATTTAATTTTTCAATTAATATCCATTAAACAATTTTAGTTATTTAGTTGAATACAATTAATATTTTAGAAATATTTAATGACATTTATGTTGTTTATAGACACTTGACATTTTGAATGATTTTCTCATTTTTTTGAATTTAGAACATTAAAAAAATTCTACCTACCTAAAAAATTTAGTTTTTCAAATATATCAACAGTTTTTAGAATTATATAAAAACTAGTCCACCCGACCTCCTCTTTAATTTAGAATCATTTTTTCAATAGCTATGGTACATTGGTTTTAAGTTTAAAATACCAAAACAGCTATACCATTCACCTATTCCTGTATTGACTGGTTGAAGGCAAAAGGAGTTAATTATTTTGCTTTTCGCTCTCCTAAAAAATAGTTAAATTATAGCTTAGTCCCTTTTGTCTTTTATCAGTCAATATCTCGTTCCTTTAAGTTTTGACTATTTTTGGTTTTTGTTTTAATTATTTGATTTGAAAATAGTTTTTATTTCTAGATATTTTGAAGTTCAAATTGATTATTGAGTTAATGACATTAAAAATTATTAAATATTTTAGGAAAAAAGGAAACCGATTCTGCTGAAGAAAATAACTAAGCTGTGTGGTCAATCTGCTCAAGACAGATTACAAAAATATGTAAAAAAGGATATTTCACAAATGGAGGTTGGTTTTTCCATACATTATTTGTTATTATCTTAAATAACTATTTTTATCATAAACAGATTCTTTAGTTATTTTTATTTTGTAAATATCTGTAAAACTAAATATTTAATTAATTAACATAATTTTAGCTTATTTTACTTTGTTCAAACTGCAAAGGTTTCTTTAAACTCTATAGAAATGAATAATTAAAGAAATGTGCTTATTTTAAATTCTTTTCTTTTTTTTTCAGCAAATATAGTTTCTTTGGTTTCTTTTAAATTTAAAATTACACCACCTTTGCATGTGTTGTCTCTGTCTTACACGTGTACAATGTAACAAAACTTAAGATTTATATTATCAAATTTTATATTTTTAAGTTTTATTTTGTATATTTATTTTCTCTCTTATATAATGTTATGTAATGTGAGATCATATCACCCCCCGTAAATACACCACTGGTAGTGTTGATAATGGACAAGATGAGAGAAAATAGAGTGAGATGGTTTGGGCATGTGATAAGGCGAGAGGAAACAAAAGCAGCAAGAGTGGTTATGAAAATTAACATTGAAAGGAATAAAGGAAGAAGAAGACCATAAAGAGATGGTTGGATTCGATTAAGAATGATATGAGGGCTGTTGGTATGTGTGTGTAGGGCAGGGGTTCCCAACCCGTGATACGAGTACCACTATTGGTACGCGGAAGGCTCGTAGGTGGTACGCGAAGAAATGTTTTGGTATAATTATTTTTATTATTATTTGCATTCATTATTTAGTTTAATTTATTTGATATTATCTAACTTTATAAATATCGATGACATTGTGTTTGAAATTTATTTTTAATATTATTTATTTAGCCTGATATTGATGTTCTTGTACAAAATAAACAACAAAAAATAACACATAAAATTTAAAAAACATAATTGTTATTTCAATATTAAGATTTAACTAAAAATTAAGATTTTTTTTCTTTCATAAATTTCAAATACTAAAAAATGTTAATAAATGAATGGATACTAAAAATATACGTTAAAAAAATGTTGACTCCCAATTAAGTTGTAGAATTAAGATGGTATGCATAATGATTATAAAAGTTTCTGATGGTACTCAATGATAAAAAGGTTGGTAACTCCTGATGTAGGGGATGTAGATATTCCGATATGAGCAGAGGTTTAGGACAAAGGTGGCCGATACCAATAGTTAGGAGAAAGGAGAAGAAGAAGATATAGTGTTATAGAAAGTTAATTGTTATTGTATTTCTATTTTAATAAGCTTATGATTTATAGTATCGGTCGGCATATATTATTTTAATTTAGTAGATACCTATATTTGATGATATTGTATAGATATTTATTATAATTTTTTCATTATAGATTAAGAACTACTCAATTGAGTTCTTATGTTCAGAGAATCCTAATTATTTAAACCAGAAAGTATCTTAGATTCCCAAGACTTAATAATAATATCAATGAAACTGTAAATCAAAATACTTTATTTTCAATCTTACATTGCCTTTAAGTCAGTTTCTTAGTTTTACTAACTGAATTTTTAAATTGATGCATAACTTATTTTATTATTACCTATTTTTTTTTTTTTTATAAAAAGTTATCAATTATTTTTAAAATGCTACAACAATCCTGTTTATAATATGCATGCAATTTATAGTATCCGATGGCATGTATTATTTTAAGTATAGTACCTTTATTTTATGAATATAATTCACTCCAAAGTTTATTCCATTTTTCATTTTTAGATTAAAGATTATAGCAATAATTCTTTATTTCCGAAGAATTTTAACTATTTATGTCAGAAAACATCTGAACTTACCAATACATATGATAAAGTCAATGATACGGTTAGTAAAAATAAATTTATTTTTAATCTTACCTGTAAGTTACCTTTAAGTCTGTTTCATAATTTTAACTTACTGAATTTAAAAATATGTATAGTTTATTTTATCATTACTTATATGGTTGATTCTTTTATTTTTGTAATGTAACACATAATATATACATAATATGCTTATTATATCAGGTGGCATATATTATTTTAATTTTAATTATTTTATTTTATAGATATATTTCATTTTAGATTAAAGATAAAGTCAATAAAAATATTGATTTTTATATTTTTACAAATAATTAACAATTATTTTTTAAATGTTAAAACAATCCTGGGTTTTCTATAATCATTTTATAATATTTACTCAATATAAAAATTACATTCATTTTATTTTAACTGCTTTAATTTTATGATCTTACTCATACTTGAAAGTCGATTAATTTGTATGAACTACTATCATTGTTCAGTACATTTTGAATTAATTGATATTTTAAATTGTTGCTCTAAACTAAATATCAAATTAAGTTTATTGCTTGAATTTATTTGAATTCTTTGAAACATATATACATTTTAATATGATGTTATAAACAATATAAATAATAATTATTTTTATTTTATGAATTAAGAATATTATGAATTCACCTATTGAACTTTCTACAAATCAACCAGAACCATTAAATACAGAAATAAATCAGTTGCAAATTCCAAGTAAATGTAAGATGACTGTGACTGTGACTGCTATTTATAGCCTTTTAGACATTTGGGTTTGTTTAGATGAAATAGAAAAAAATGTAAGTTAATTAATTAATTAAACTATAGATTTAATAGTTGTATCATAGTCTGAAAAACATTTTATTTATGATCATTAAAACTATCATTAAATTATAACCTATCTTAGGAATATGATACAGTTGATTTTACTAATAAAATATAAATAATTAACAGTTTATATTTTATAAATTTTAAGATAAATATTTTTTGTTGTATAATTTTTTGAAATATTAAAATTATGTCTTACTGTTTATATTTTTAAAGTAAGTTTTTGTTTATCAATTTTTATAAAAATGTAAATGATTATTATTATATTAATTATATTGATAATTTTTCAAAAATACTAAGTATGTACTTATAAATTTAAGGGCTTGATTTGATGTTTGTTTTTTTTTCAGTAAGAAATGTCATAATTTTTTTAACTAGAATTTAATTTAAAATTCAGTGAAATTTACAAGATATTACATTATATACTTATTAGACATGAACATCAATATGATTATATTAATAATGAACATAGTTTAATTTAATATTTATTTTTAAAAATATTTAGGAGAGTTTCTGTAAAATGCAAAAGGAATTGAAAATATATATGGATTCAAATAATTTAAGTCCAATTAAGCAAGACCCTATTATTGGTCATTTTTATGCTCTTTATCATCAGCTAATGTGGCATAGAATTTCAATTGAATGTATTGATTTTGATGGCTCTATTATATGTTTTTTAATTGATACAGGCAAATCTATGCATGCAAATAAAAACCAAATTTATCCATTGGCATCAAATTTTTTTAATATTCCTGGACAGGTAATGTTATTCATTATTATAAAGTTATTAAAAGTAATTATGGAATAGTTAATGAACTTAAAACATTTTGGTTCAATTAGAACTAACATTATAAAAATGTATTTTTTTTAATGTATTAATTACACTACTTTGAATGTAATATTTTCAGGCTATTAATATTTTGTTAAACAAGTTTAAAATATTTAATGATTTCCCGTTAATTAAAGATATATTAATTGAGACACTGATTGACCAAAAATTCTTGCTCATACCTCACACAATAATTACAAGTCCTCCATCTGTAACTTTATATGAAGTAGAATCAATGATGAATGTAAATGACGAACTACTTCATACTTTTTTTGAAAAAGTAACATCGAAATTTTCATATACAGTAAGTTATACATGTATATAATATTTATTTTATATACCTATTAACTATACAATATTAATGTACTTTGATAAAAAAAATAATTAATACATTTATAGTCTGAGCATAATACGTTCATGTTTATTGTGTGAGTATTGGATATAATCATTAGTCTATCTGTATTAATACCAAATAAATATAAATATAATTAATGTATTTTCATTAATGTATTTTTCAGATTGAATATAAATTTACAGAAGCTAAAGTATTATCCATTCTCGATGGATACTTATATTTACAACCAAATAAAGATTTAATAAAATCATTAGAAAATCTATTGTTAACTGATTTATTTTCAACTGGTTTTTTAAAAAATAATAGAGATATAGATTACAGAAATGTATATTTAACTACTTATAAGCAAAATATTAAAGGAAGAGTTAAAGTATTGTATTTCATTGATGATAGTTGGGTATGGAACATTATTTTTAATAAAAGCTTTTTATAATAGAAAAATATTTAATTGTTTAGTTATTGATAAATTTACCAACCACTTATTTTTAACAATTTTATGTTTTTATTATAGTTAATTATTTTATTGTAATTGAGTCAGTTAATTATAATTAACAGAAATTTGATGATATAAAAACTATAATTATTTATTTTTTCTTGTTTAGGTAAAAATATTTTTTATTGATTACGGTGTATATAGAAATGTTGAATTACAGGAACTAATTAACATTAATAAAATTGATAATCTTGTTGCTAAAATTCCACCCCAAGTAAGTTTAATCATTAATTGTAATTTAATGGTTAATTTGTATGTGAATAAACTTTTTAAAAATGTTAATAGTACTAGATGTAGTAAATGTATTCTAACCTAACTTTATGAAAACATGCTCCTGCCCACTGAATATATAAATTCCAAACCAAAATTTCCCAAAATGCCATTGTAATTATTTCTATGCATAATATTACATATTTGAATCTAAGTGTTAATTATACATTTAATTATTTTCAAATTTTGTATAAAATATTATGTGTTATAATAAGTAAATTGACAAAAAAAAAAAAAAAAAAATACTTGTCATGTTTGGAATGTAATATTTAAGAAAGTTTATTTTGCCTAATGTTATTATGTATATAATCATGTTAAATTTATTTTATCTATTCAATAGTAGCATCTGTTTTACATTATTTTATTATTTTAATCACTCATTAAAAAACGATGTAACTTTTGATAAATTCCATATTTTCTGTAATTTTGAAATTCTCTATCAGCATTTAATATCTATGTATTTTTGTTTAATTATACATATTTATTATACCAGTTAAAAAAAAAAAAAAAATTAGAAAATTGTATTAAAATAATGGATTAAAAATTTTTTTTTTTTAGGCTGTTAAAACAATATTGCATATGTTTCCTCCTCAATGTATGACTAATAAAACAATAGATGAGTTTTTCAATATTTTAGGAAATAATTATTATGTGTCAGTTATGGGATTAAATGATTCCGATAATGATATTCCATGTGTTCAGTTATGGACTGGTGCATTTCCTGATACATGTATAAACATGGTTTTGTACTCTAGGTAATTTTTTTAAGTTAATGTTTAGCATTTGTTGATAATACATATCTATACAATTAATTTAATTTAAGAAATTATAATTTAATCATAAATTTGTTTAAAGATTGGAAAAAATCAAAAAAAATTGTGAAGAAAGTAATACTTAATAAAGTCACTGATAAAGTAAGTATAATAAAGTAATGCTTAAGTACCATTTGATGTATTTTTTTTTTTAAGATTTTTGTAAAAAATGTCTTCCGTATTATTTTGAATTGTATTTATTTAAATTGATTTGTTATAATAATTTAAACTATTAATGTTAGAAATGATTTTGAACCCTCCTTTAATATATTTGAAATAAAACATTTTGCATAAAGTTATGATAAATTTTATTTTTGATTTACTGAAAACCTTAAGTTTACGTTAAATGCAGTTTATAAACTTAAATATATAACTTGATGATTTTATTTAAGATATTTAAAAATTTTATTTATCAAGATATTTTTCATATAAACAGTTAGATTTTTTAATAAAAATACAATGAAAAAAAAAAAAATTTAAAGAGGGTATTATTTAAAAGATATTACTTGTGTATTGTTCTACATCTTTAATTTATGATAATTAGTTGAGCTATTTATTTATTTTTTAAATAAATAAAATCTAAGGATAATAATTATTTTGTTATCATTAATGTTTTCTCAGGATTAAAAGGCTGAATATTTTATAGTTGTTGATTTTATACCATGAAGATAATGACCTAAACCGTGATATTGGAACAAATCTTTTTAAAAACTTGTCAAATTAATAAAATTACAAAAAATACAAAAAAAAGAAAAACAAAATAAAAACTATATATATTTTGACTCGTATATGACCAAATCACATTTTGTACTTAATAAGCTATTTTCTGTAAATCTTAAAAAAAAATGCAAAATCCTCTACTAGTTATAATTATAACACTTAAAAAGTTTCGGGAACGCTATTTTTTTTTTTTTTTAAGTTAACTGAGTCCCTTCTCTTTAATTTTGACAAATTGGGCATTGGTCAATACAATGTATTACAATAATTGTAATCTGTAGTATGGTATGAACGATTTTAATTATGTAAAAATACTTTAAAAAAAAAACATTCGAAAATCAAAGCAATATAAATATTCTGAAAAAATAAAGTGTTATTAATTATAAAATATTTCACGGTTTTGTGAAAAAAATTGAAACTTATATCGATTATTCTATTGCTTTCCGTTTTTTATTTTTTCAAAATTTGAAAAAAAATGTATTTCGGTACCTACATAATAAACACAATATACTAACTATATACAATAAAGACTGATAATCGATACTGATTAACAAGGCTAGGATTTGTGTGTAATAAAATATTGTAAAATATGCATTTATTGTAAATGTTTATAAGATAAACACAAAAATATAGTTACAAAAAAAATATTTATTTATTGAAGTACATCAATGGTTGGCTGTTTGTCTTAATATAATATAATGGAGAAATAAAATAAAATCAAATTTTTTTGACTAAAAACTAAGTTTTGTACTTTAATCAGCAAGGCTCGAATTAAATATGAAATATTATTATTAAATTATAAATATTAATTACGAAATATAATATAAAACATTAATTTTTCGCATTTTTATAATCGTAATATGCAATAATTTTAATTATATCCCACACAGCATTTTGAAAATAATAATATTTTCAATATATTTGAATTAGGTTTCATTATAAATATTGGTTTTAGAATATTGTAAAATTATTTTGAAAATATTTGATCTTTAAATATTTAAATCAAAATATAATCAAAACATTTTCAAAACATTGTGTACCAAATATTATATAACAATTTTCCATAATATGTTTTGAAAATATTTGGGTATCAAATATTTAAACCCAAATATGATCAAAATCTTTTCAAAACAATTCATACCAAATATTATTTATCAATTTTCCATCAATGTTTTGAAAATATTTGAAAATCAAATATTTAAACCCATATATGATCAAAACATTTTAAAAACAATTCATACCAAATTTTATACATCAATTTCCGAATCAACGGATTGGATCCGTGAATCCGGATAAAACGGATAGATCCGAAATTCGGATTAAGTAATTGTGATCCATAATCTGGATTGGCCAAAATAATGCTCAACAGTCAGCACTTGTACCTACCCTTACCTACCTACATAATTATATCTTATACATTGACTACGAATAATCAATAATGACATACTATTATGCAATACAATATTATAGTCTAAGGATTTAAATTATATTTATTTTGTATAGTTGAAGAATTATAATATAATATATGATTGTATATTAATAATAATAATGGTTACGCGATAACGGCGTCGTGCGCCGTCGCCGCTATATTATATATAGAATAATATTATTAGGTTGCTTATTAATTATATACAGTGCCACAGTCATAGTGGAAAAACCGCGTGGGAAAAACCATAATGCAGAATGACAACCGCGTTCGAAATAGTCGGCAGTTGCATACACTTCACGACGAAACACACGTAATTAATTATTATATACAGTAATACAGATATAATCTTATATTATTATAGACGGTCGACCACCCATCGATACCGTTATACGTCCTATATTATCGCGTCTTAGCTGTTCGCTTGTCCGTGCCGACGTCGTCTTTCATTTATATTTTGATAAACTACAAATAATATAATATATATATACTAGCTGACCCGACAAACGTTGTTTTGTCATATAAATTATTTCTAGAGAATATTTTGCTAGAAAAAAAATAACTAATTAAATATAGGCATGTAAGAATGTGGGTAAGGATAAGGATGTAAGGAAGATATATGGCGTGCTATGAATGGTAACGAAATATAAAAATGAAAAAACATCAAACATTTATTTTTTTAATAATTTATTAAAATTGATCTATTAAAATAATATATATCGCTAATTATGACAATATAAGTAAAAAACAATATCTATCCCTTAATGCAACAGAGTGTACAATATTTTTTGTAATCCCATCTTTCGCAAACACAAACTGGATGGCTCGAGAGCACACCACGTATAATTATCCGTGTGAAAAATATGATGTGCTCAAATCTAAGCTACAGACATTGTTTGGCTTTGAAACTTATTGATAGTCATTGCAAATGCCAATCTAATTGGAAATTTAAAGCGTTTAAATTGTATTGGCACATCTGTGGGTATAATAGAGATTCGCGGTAATAATATATTTTCACCTCGGAATTTGCCATTTAAAATTATGGCTTCGATAACATTTTTCATTAATTTTTTAACAACTTATCGCGTGTCGTTGTACAACCGTGGTAGGTCAAATTATGAAGCAAAATAACCGAAGAACAAACCTTCAATTGTAAATTATGCGGTGGCATGCCTGGTAAGTCCAATGAGTTTAAAAACTCTGTTAGATAATTTACAGCTTCAGTAGCATAGCAAACTATATCTATAGATTTGTATGACACCATGTCTCCTGGTAATAAATGTTTATCTTGAGATTCAATTCGTTGACGTCCACATTTTTTACTACTAAAATTGCCCTTTCTGCCAGCCACTCATGATTTATGTATTGTCTGTGTACATTGGAAAATATCTAGTCAATGAGAGCATCTTGCGAATAAATGATTGTGCAGAAATCGGTCGGTAATTTTATACATTCCGTTTTATCTGTAGTAACTTTCCCATCTCCAATATCTAACAATTGTTTTGAGAATCTTCTGCACGCAGCTTTTTTTGATTAAATCGCAAGTATCAAAATCGTTCGCTCTCTGTCTTTACATACATTTCGACCATGAATTGTTGAAGCTCATGATATCGTAGAATAATTTTGTCTTGATCTCGTTTAATCATCAACCGATATGCATAATAATTTTTCGAACTAACATTCTTATTTGTTTTGACACCTGTTGCGGGATCTTTTTTTGTTTAATATTTATGCAATAACCGTCATTTACTACCAAAAATAAAATTAATAGTTTTTAAATAGGTTTTTTTTATAGTTTTTTAATAGTTTTTTAATAGTTTTTTAATAGTTTTATTTAATAATTCATTTTCAATTGTGCAGTTATCGACTGGGTCAAAAAGGGCTATTTTTAGGGTTTTTCCAGCAATAATTCTAATTTTTCTCGCCGTAAAAACCATCCTTGAACTTCAACGAACATTTGAAAAAAAGATTTGGCCAAATTGGTCCAGGCGTTGTTGAGTTATGCGCTTACCTACACATTTTGCGATTCATTTTTATACTATAGATATATATAATATATTATATAATATGTAAGTATATACAATTAATATAAGTTTTAATTTAAGAATACAAAATAAGTACTTAGGTGGGTAGTGGCTAGGTATATATTATATTAAAATATCTATATATTCAATAACAGCATGAAAAAAAATAAAGCGGGATCATGGCATCATGCCGTACTGGTGAATTTTTTTTCTCATTGTTTTTTGTAAATGACTTTTTGTATAATATTGTTTACCTATCTTAAAAGACTTAATATTATAGTCTCTCTTTAAGTACCCACAAATTAATAAAATCCCGCCATAAATATAGGAATTTTAATGTACATCGACCTGTTTAAAAACATTCGTTGACGCCGGCATGTCTCAATATAACCAACAAATATCATAACTGTACTTCGACTTAGATAAAATATGCCCTATTAGTCCCAAAATGTAATTATAGAGCCACATTCCATATAAATATATAAAAAATGTGCATATTTTAAAACTATTGTAGGTTTGTACAGTAAATAATTACATAATGTTTAAGGAAGACCAGGGATAAAAATTTTATAAAAATGTATTATACATTTAAAAAAAAGTATTTAGTTTATAAACTAAATGTATACATATAAATATTTTTTTCTGGTACCTGGTAGAAGTATAATATATTATATCTATCTAATCTATCTATCTATCTATAGGTACTTATTTTATAACTATAGTTATAAAATAGGTACCTATAGATACTTGATATAATCAAATTAAAATATAATAACTATCTTAAGTTCACATAAATTAGATTGTTACTCTTTTTGTTGATAGGTTAATTCCGAGGTCAATAATCATTGTTATATCTAAGTTCAAACACTAGCTAATATATACTACATATAATAAAATACTACAACCAATGTAATTTGTTTTATTTTATAAATCCAGTTAATAGGTAGCTTGAAACTTTAATTATATTTAGGTATATTTTAATTATATTTTCAGTACTTAGCTATTCATATTTAAGTTATCCATGTGTAGGTACAAAATTGTTGTAAAATTAATTATTAGTTAATAATTAGGATAATGAACTGCAGTTAGCATTTTATTTTCTATATTGATTTAAATTTGCTTTTTAAAGAATCTAAAATTGTGTAACCTACACCTATCAATACACACATATTTATTGTAATATAATATAATATTATTAGTCTATGTATAATTTAAGTTTATATATACTTATAAAAATATATGTCGGAATAGAAGTAACTTTATTATTCAATTTATATAATTATATAGGTCTCTTTTAAATAATAATTTAGTAAGAAAAAAATAGTATTCAAAATAATTTAACAATAATTTTAATATATGATGATAATAATAATCCAATAGATTCTTTATTTAATTAAAATAATATAAATATTACTATAAATTAGAAAAAAAATTCAATTATTATATTATGTATTTCATTATAAAATCAAGACAATGTAAAACTGAACTTCCCTTTATAATACTAATGTAGGAGAACAACATTTTTTTATTTATTTGAAATTTGTATTGAGATTATGAACAATAATTAGAAATAGAATCATAAGTGTAACTGTAAATTATAATATGCCTACTTACATTAAATATGGTATTGTATATTATTACAGTTAAAAATGATGAAAGTCACAAATAGTAGAGCTAAATGAAGAAAAATACAAAAAGAATTAGATGTCTTAAATTATGAATGGCCTAGAGATAATGAATTTTCAAAACTTTTTCAAGATGTACATTAGATTGTTCCTTCTATGTCTTCTAACCAAATATCACATTATATTGATTCTAATCTGACAACACAAATTATTTCTCATGATAGTCATCACTCTTCATATGTTTCAAACTCTGAAGAAAATTCTGATGATAGTAACACAGATCCTATTATAACCGATGGTTTTCTTGAGAAAAATTGTGATTTATTTGTTAATACATTTGAAAAATTAATGGTCCATGATACGAGTAATTTACCAATACACCTACAACAACAGCATGTACAAGAGTGTCTTGGAAATTGGGCCATTGATTGCAATATTCCTCAGAATGCAATTAATAAATTCTTATCAATTTTAAAATTTAAAGCACAACTTAATTATTTACCTAAAGATTGCCGAACATTGCTTCATTCTGGATCAAAAAAAGTATTAAATTTAAAGGAAGTAGATCCAAATGGAATATATTTCCATTTTGGTTTAAGGGAAGGTATTCAAAGGTATTCTTCAATAATTGTCTCTCCAAATAATGTTATTAAAATTGCTATTGGAATAGATGGACTTCCACTGACAAAAAGTAATTCTGCTCAGTTTTGGTCAATTTTGGCCTATATTCTGCCCCATAGAAATCATGTTTTTCCAGTAGGAATATTTTATGGTTCCACAAAGCCAAATAATAGTAATGATTTTTTAAAAGATTTAGTTTCAGAGGTATTAGAACTAGCACATACTCGGATAAACATAAAAAATGAAACAAAAATAGTTGTTATTGAAGTTATTTGTTGTGACGCACCGGCTAAAAGTTTTGTGTTGGGAGTAAAAGGGCATGCTGGGTTTCATGCTTGCACCAGATGTAAAAAAAATGTAATTATATTAGTTATATTGGTATTCATGTTATTTAATTTAATTAACACCAAACTTTTTCTTAATTATGTCAATATATATTAATATATATTCTACTATTTTGTTTTTATTTTGCAGATATTGAAGCCTTTGATCTGGATATGAATAAACCTAGGTTTATTGCAGCTGCAATTGGTACACAGACTCAAGAAATATTTTCACAATGTTCATCTTCTAATCATAGTGAATTAAATGCAGATTATTATGACTCAACTAAACAAATGAATAAATCAGCTCATTCTACGCCGCAAGTATTGCATACCAGTCAAGTGCTTCAAGAATCAACACCACAAAATATTGATTGTTATTTATCTACAATTGACAATACTTCTGATATAAAAAATGAACTTAAGGGTATGTATTTCTAATGAATAACTGTATATAATATTGATACCTTGGTACCTGTATAATGAAGTTTTTGTTCTTTGTATAACTTTCAAACAAATTGTAACCCGAAATCAAGTCACCATAAAATATGAAATAAAGAATATACAAGAAAGACTTGATTTGATATTCAATATGCAAGAAAAAATATTAAATAAATTATTAAATAATCAAATCATTGATTATACAGAATGTAATTATGTAGAATTCTTAACTCCTATGGAAAGTGATAAAGAGTTGGAGAAAATGGAAGATAAAATGAAGTCTGATTTGACATACAGAAAAACTGTGGTAATTATTAAATATTGTAGATTTAACAATATTAAATAAAAATTATGTAATATGATTTTTACAGGTTACAGAGTTATCAAGATTAATGGGACAAAATTTGTCAGAAACTGTTCGAAAAATAATGCAAAAATTATTTAGTGATACTTTGCTTACATTCTATTCTTATATAGGGTTTAAAGGAAAAAAACAATTTTCAACTCTACAAACTTGTGCAGTTATATTTGGTAATTCATATTTTATTAATGTATAAATTGTATAAAATAACTAAATAAGAATTGTCACATTGATTTTAATTGTGACCAATGTATAATTTGGCCATTGATATCTTTTAAGGCTCAGTCTTATTGTTTATGAATAATACAAATTAAGGTAAACAAAATTTACCATGATTCTTGTAGGGCAAATATAATAATAATTGGATAAAAGTACTTATTAACTCAATTACCGATCAGTGATAACATTTTAATCATGTGTTTTTTAATCAATAACTTTTTGTGCTAATAAAATTTAACAGTCATACTTCAATAATAAATTATTTCTAGCTATGTAATCTGATTATACTTGTATTATTCGTACTAGATATAAATATAAAATATTTAAAATTTAATAATTCACGGAATAATAACTATTTATAATACTGCTATTTTATAACTAATACAAATCCTAAAAGTACTTCATAATATAAATAGTAAAAAATTAAAATTTGAAACTGTTTTTAGAGTCCATAAGAAGAATGAAAAAATTTACTGATATAGCAAATATAGAAATTGAAAAACCTTTAAAGACATGGATAGCATAAGCTTCAGCTCGTCTTAAAAAAATTGACGAAAAAAAATCTTCATGATTAAGTTATAAAATTTTTTGTACACAATATTATATTTTAAGGCAGTTACTATAGGTAAACATACATATATGTATAATATATTATATATATGTTTAGTATATTTACAGTTTATATTTGAATTAATATAATATTAATTGATTTTTTTTTTTTAACTTTACAAAGGAATTGTAATATTTAGTTGTAATAATATAATATTTTACAGTTTCAATTGGTACAATGTGTTAAACAATTTTAATTTTAATTTTTAAGAAATATTACAAAAGTGAAAAAATTTTATTATAACCTTTTTTTTTATACAATATTGTATTTTATGGCAGTTACTATATACATAATCTTATATATAGGTTTAGTATATTTACAGTTACATATGAATTAATATAATATTAATTGTTTTTTTTAACTTTACAAAGGATTTGTAATAATATGTTATTTTACAGTTTAAATTGCTATAATTTGTTAAAAATTGCTATATTAATATTTTGAATCCTTTTTTATCATTAAGAAAATGTAATTTATTATAAAATGTATTAGAATTATAATTTATAAGAATAATAATAACTACCTATGTTTTATTGCAAGTAATAGTGTACATTTTATAAAATGTTTTGATTTATATTGATGAAATTATATAAGAATATTAAAAATATATTTGTTAGTATTTATCATAAATGTATAATGAATAGTTATTTTAATACATATTTAAATATGTATCATTGTAACAATATATATATATTTTTTTATGACTACCAAATTGTATCTGAGTTTATAATATTTAATGAGTTAATATGTTGCTAAGATAATATTATACTGTATTATAATATTAAAGTAAAAAAATACAATAATAAAATGTCAACACAAATACAAACAATATTTTCAAAACTAATACAACAAATATTTTGAAAATCTATTCATATAATATTTTCAAAACTTCAATTAGAAATAATGTGAAAATATTTTACTACAATATTTTTAAAACCACTAAAAGTAATATTTTGACAGTAAATTACTGCAATATTTTAGAAATATAGATATCACATATTTTGAAAATGTTAATTCATTGGTCATTCAAAGATATTGAAAATATTTTGAAAATATTCAAATATCAACTGAACACCACCTGAAAATGTTTATCAAATATCTAGATATTTTGTCAAACAATCATAAAATATATTAATATTACAACACTGTGTGGGATGTTATAATAATAATATTAATTATATATTATATTCAATATATGCAATAATATGCATTTTATCCAAAATATACAAAAACATGCAAAATAAAAACACCACCATTTATCTCATCATGAGGCGATTCGTGGACATTACTGACAAAATCAATCATTAAAAGTCGCAAAAATAAAACATGCTGTTGCATATAAATCCTAGCCCTGCTGATTAACTTCAAACATGGTCCGTGATGCACACATTAAACGTTATAGTAAGGTATACCATTAATTATAAATACTATTTATAATCAATGGTTATTCGTTGATATGTATATAGATATTACTCAATATGTCACTAATTTGTCAATTTGTCACGTAGCAATTAAAATTAAGTTATAATAATGATATATATTAGATTATAATCCGTATATATACGGTTTTGGGAGTGAAGTAAATGAGGCAGTGCCTTAAAAATAAAAATTATATGAATGGTAAAGTAGGTACAAATATAATATAAATAATAATTATAATAATATAGCATAATACTTTCAAAACATTTTGTCAAACTAAATAATTGTATCGATATTTTACGAAAAAATACATGAAAATTTGATATTTTCGAATATCTTTAAATAATTTAAAAAAAAAAATAGAAATCTTTTGTGTACGAATGTTGATATTATCGTTGGTTCAGTGAAAATTTCATGTCTCAGAGGTTATTATTTTTTGATTTATGATGAAAAAAAAAACTTGATTTTGTTAAAAACCAGTATGCCGTAAATTTTTGTAATTTGTTGTCAGTTTTTTACAATTATTAAGAATACTGTTGGAATTTCATATAATGCCTCCCCCAATGTATCAAAGATACAATATTTCCTATTAGAATTCTCTTATGATTTTGATGATCAGAGAAATCGTTATAGTCAAAGTCATGTTCTCAGAATGTATAGTGTAAACTCACGTTATGGTAAAATCAATAAATATCTTGTTTCACTCAGAATCTAAAATAGCTAGTAAAGAGGTTTAATAAGAATTAGTTATTTATATTTATTAATTATATGAATTATTTTAACTAAAATTAATCCAAATTTAGTTTACTTGGCTGGAAGATTCAGTCTTAAAATGTTTAGCCAAGTATTAAGTATTATATAATAAATAATACAGACCCCATTAAAATAAATACATTTATTTCCACCCAAGTAAACTAAATTTGGATTAATTATTTTTGTATACATTTAACACATTAGACCATTTACTTAGAATCCAACTTCTATCACATATTTTATAGCATTTATCTAATAAGTTTTTTTTTAAGTTTTTTGTAAGTTTTTTTTTATTTAACGTTTTTTACATGGAGTTAGTAAAGTGTTTTTGTTGGGATAAAAATCAACTAAAAACAGAATTCGAATTGGAGGTCTCTACGCAAAGATATTGATTGTTCTCAATTAGCGTTTATACACTTTTTATCCGTTCGCTATATATAAACGAAACTAATCGCGCGTCATATTAATAGTTTATTTTTAGTTTTTCGAGAGTTATAACATAATCTGGAAACTCGGAATCACGGATTCGCTGCGTATTTTCTTTTCGTCGACAAGACAGGGTTTCAGTATTACGCAGGCATTATTACCTCCAATGGAGAAACGTTCACTTTCGAAATTCACCGCCCACTGACCCAGCCCGTTCTATTGTTTTCCGATTACTTTTTTTTTCCAGTCCAAACAATTTTTGATAACAGTAAAATGTAAATAGTCAACAGATAGTTGTTGAACGTTGATTTCATTAACATTACTTGACATTTATTAATTCGCATAATATACTCGCATTCCGTTTTACAGTTTATTAATCGTTCCTAATTTAATTCCTCATTAGTGTTTCATTAGAAGATCATTTTTCTGCGACTGAAGTTATGATCTATTTTGTGTAACTGTGTAAGTATAAACAAATTAATAATGGTTGAATGAGCACTTAAAAGCTGTCTACATTTTAGATCATATTATACAGTTCACCCAATGTTATAGATTCTAAGCGTTGAGTGTGAGCAGCTGTGAAAATTATTATTTTCACAGTTAAATCTGTTTATTTTCCAGTAAAGTTGTGGAGTATATTTTTTTATACAATATAGCTGTAAATTTGTTTTACTTTTTATCGTATGTACATACATGTATAATAAAATATTATACAGGTATATAGGTAGTTTTATTACATTTATTATTTTGTGTACAACATTGGTGTCATGATGAGTCATTTAATATTCTCCAATTCTACACAGCAATATGTTTGAACTGATAAAACTATATAACTAATTAGTGTAAAAACTGTCATGTAATTAAATAATTAGGCTTAATGATTAAAAAAAAAGTGTTTCATTGAATTATTATTATCATACGGTCATAAGCTTGGTATTAATTGCTATAATTAAATAATAATTTCATATAATATTTGGGTGTAACCATGCTGTATATAGTATTGTAATGATATTGGAAAATCTTGTATTTTTCAGTTTTCACAAAGGAGTATTCAACATATTAAAACTTGAGAATTTCATATTATTTTGACTTAAAATTTGTTACTATTTGGTAATTATATAAGCTCAAATTATTTTATGTTACAATCATAACTAAATTGTATCTTAATTATATTGGTAATGTGTTAATTCATTTCAGTTGGTTATTAATCACTTTTATACTATTGTATTCTTTTTCAATATTTTTAAAATAGTATGTGATAAATCAGTATGTTTCTTTTTATTGCTTGTTGTTAACAGAAAGTAATTCTGAAATACTTAATTATATAACTGGTTTAAGTTAAACAAAAAAAATAAAAATGTATAAAAATGTATTGATATATTTTTATTTTAGAATTATAAGCAATGAGCAAATATACTTTCCAAAGGCCTGAAATGGAGATGCCTTTACAGAATTCACATTATATTCCTTCCAGGGAAACTCTTGGGCGTTATTCCGAGTATTCATTACATTCTAGTTACAAAATAAGAGCTGGTGATGCTGCATGTAAGTTAATAAGTTTTTATTATACATTTTTTTTTTTTTTTATAGTAAATTTAAAGCTCTTAACAGTTAGTATCATAGCTGATTGAATAATGAATAAGTGACAAGCAGAATATAATTCCTAAAATAATTTAATTTCTTATTTTTATTATGTCAAAAATCAAAATTTAATTTTATTACTGTTCTTAGTTTTTCTCAATTTAAAAACTGGAATTATTTTACATTTTTATTCTATTTTAAGTGTTTTTGGGTAATCGTATCTTAAACATGAATATATTAATTAGTACTATAATACTAAAAGTTACATTAAAATTAATTATTTTTAGTCAAAAATAATGAATTAAGTTTATATATTCTAACATATTCATCTTTGCATATCTATAAGCATTGAACATTTTATGGGTGTATATCTAGTGAAATGTTCAATATGCGTAGGAAAGGATATAATCTATATAAAATTGAGTAAGGAGGCTATTGGTCACAGGGATTATACTAAGGATTTTTATCAACTATGCATTTTATTTTTAAATAAGCCTATCAAAATAGAACTATGATCTCAAAATATACTGCCAAATTATAGTTAAAAATTATAAAATGTGTAGCTTCTATGTGAAGCAATTTAAAATGTAAAGTATTTAAAAGATATAAAACAATTTACATTCGTGTTCAAAGTATTTTTTTTAATATTTTTTAATAAATTTCCTTTTTACTTTGTTTATTAATCATAATTTAATGTATAAAATAACACTAAACAACATTGAATTAAAAATCAATTACACAAAAGTTTATTATCAAGTGCGCATCTACCTTTTCCAAATATGTAAAATAAGCCCAACTGCAATCTAGAATATGCCCTGATTGGTCATACATTTTATATTATAAAATACATTTTTACAGAGGATATTTCTACTTACTTTTTTATTTATCTAAATTAAATGATTTTTTTGTGTTATATTTGTATTTTTATTTTTTTTTTAGCTACTAATTCTGTGGCATGTACCACAAGAATACCATATGCTACTTTAATAGCAGCTTTATTGTGTTTTACTGGTATTGGTATATTTTGTGGTACAATGTATCGTGGTGCAACACTAAGTGCATTAATGATGGACCAAGTATTTCATTTATATATTGGATGGTATTCTATATTTTTATTAATTTACTCATCAAAGACCAAACTATTATTTTTTGTTCATATTTTTTTTACAGTTAATGTATTTTATATTTTACAGGCTTGAAACTATAAAAACAGTTTTAGTATTGATTGCTGCAGGAATGGGAGCTCTTACATTAATGATTATATTTGTCGGATTTCTTGCTACTGGAGCAACACGTCGCCGTATGTACAAGGCATGGCGAACTAGAGTTGGTGGTCGTATATCTTGTGCAGTTGTAAGTATATAAATACAGTTTAAAAATATTATCATTTTATTATTTTTAAATTTGAACAGTATATTTATGTATTCTATTTTTAGTTTATGGGCATAATTTACATACTTCAATTTTTTTGGATTTTCGTTCTTGGTTTCCTTGTAATTGCTACATTTGTTATGACTGTATTTTGGAAGATGTGTTCTAGCACTCAAGTTCAAGATTATCATCAGTGTATTGATTTAACACAGTTCCGTATGTACAGATTTTCGTATTTATGTATTTTTATTTTAAAACAATTTAAAATATTATGGTTTTACTATATATTTTAGATTTCCTATTTCCACAATCGACTCGTATTGATTATTTAAAGATTTGTGAAACTCGAGATATAAAATTTTTCTGCAGAGATTTTGTTGAAAAATCAGAATTTATGTTTGTTATGGGTACTGTAGGTGTGATTCTCATATTAATAAGTTTGGTAAGAATTATATTTATAAAATCGAATTTACAAAATTTTTTTGACTAGAAGTCAAAGAACAGTTTAACATTTAAAAATTAATATTTTCTTATAATTAATAGGTCCACTATTTGATGTGTTTATCAGCTAACTATGCTCATATCAGAGACCATGAAAAATTTGAAGAACTCCAAGAGTTGCAACTACTACAAGATACTGATTTTGCTACTTCTAAAGAAAGGTTTTAAAATTTAAAAACTTAATTGCCTTATATATATTTCTGTATCATTCCACAGTTGATATTGTGATACAGGGTATAACGTTTTTAATATGCTGTCATTTATTATTCACAATTATATATTTTAATGTGTAAGTAATAGGGTAGTAAGTCTAAAAATGATCATATTTGGTTTAAACTTATAATTTATGCTTCTTATTTTAATTGTTCACTATAACAACATTTAATTTCATCGTATATCTATAATTAAAATATTTTGATAAGCTGACACTGAACTGCACATTAAAGTTATTTAACAGTGTTATTTTTATATATCACTTAATTTTATATTAATTTATGAATTCAAACATTTGACACTTTTTTTACTGAAATTTTTCCCTAATTTTCATGCTGGTATTAAATCTAGTTTTCTAATAATTTAATGAGACTTATATTTTCTCAGTTTTTTTTTTCAGTTGATTTATAGTTGTGCAAATGACAATAAGTGTTAAATATTGTTCCTTTTAAAAATTATATTATATTAAATATTACTATTTGTCAATTTCCTTAGTAATTATTTTATTATATTATTGTTTTATTTAGGTGATTAAATTATCATTTTGAATTTAATCACGCATATGACCCAATTTTTTTTGATTAATAAAATAAGCAATACATTTTTTTTTTTAGTTAAATTAGGATTAAACATTCAAAAATAATTTTAAATATAAGAAATTTTTTATAATTAAATAATTAATTAGTTGAAAATAATTATTTTAATTGTGTTTCATATATTTATGATAAACTAATTATATAATCATTTAAATATATATCTAATCATGTGATAATAATATGTAATTTTAAAATGCAATGATGTTAAATAGCTTACTAAATAACAGTGAATTGGTGTTTAAGTTTATATTAGTTTTTATATCTTCATTAATTATAAAATTTTTCACTTTTTAATAGTGATTAAAAATGAAATTATATTTTTATTTTTTATTTCTTTTATCCTAAAATTGTAATAAATAAATAAAATTTATTGAATGTAAAGTTTAAAATACATCTAATAGTTAATAGTTATAATTATATTTGTATATAAATACTGAAAAATGAAATTGGTTAGTTATAAAATACAAATAAAATTTATTTTAAATAACATTTTATAAGCAAAAAATGAATATGTTTTATTTAATATTAATATTTAAAGTTTAAATAATTGTGATAAGCATAGGCGAAACTAAGGGGGGATTGGGTGGGCTTAGCCCACCCAATTTTGTTCGTAGCCCATTCAGTTTCACTACAAAATAAAACATCAACTCTTGGTTTTTCTAAAAATGTAAATTTTGGTGTAATTATGACATTTGAAACTCTAAGATCTGAAGATGAATTTAAGAAAATATGGGAATAAATAAAAATATTTGTTGAAGAAAATGACATGTGGTTACAAACTCCATTAACTGGTGTATATATTTTGTGATTTTGATAATTTGTTTTATGTTTTTTAACCTAAATAATACATACAAAATATAGGATCAAAGCATCGCAGAAGAGAGTCAATTAGCCTTTATGACTATGTATTAACAAATACCATGGCGGCAGAAAATGATTCATATTCGTCATTAGCAAATTATGTAGAAAATTATTGGAGAACTTTTACATATTTTTTTATCATGGACAGTGTTATTTTCAAACTTAAATATAGGTTTTCTGATGAAAGCTTAGCTATGGCCAGTTCAGTTGTAGTTCATTTTGTAAATTAGATACAACCGATTCAATGAAGTTTGTTGATCATTATAAGGTAATTTGGTAATATGTATATAAATACATTTTAATCGCATAAGGGATTAATGATAACTAATTAATTAATTAATTATAATAATTAGAACTATAGGAATTACTACATATTTCAAAGAGTAGCTTAGAAGCAGAAATTAGAGTAGCATTTAACCTTTAAATAGTAAAAAAAAAAAAGATTTCAATATAAATGATGTCAAAGAAGTCGAAAAACAAATATTTCCAAACTTTCTAAACTTTTATAAGTGGATTTATCTATTCTTATAAATTTAGACACCCGTGAAAGGTCGTTCTCTTCAACGAGGCAAATAAAACATTGGCTTTGATCTTTTATGGCCCATGATCGATTTACAAATTTAATTATTTTAAACATAAAGAGATATGTCACCAACAAATTAGACGAAAATGAAATTGTAAAAAGTTTGCTGAAAAAAATAGAAAAATATTGTTAATTTAATTAGACTTTATAATAAAAATTTAATAGCTATGAACTGTATATTTCATTGATTATATGTGTATATTCTTCTTATTCGTGTTTATTTAGGTAGCTAGTCTGTAAGTAGTAAGTGACTAGGTAAGTGACAACATTTTATTTCGAAATAAACTATTAACGACTAAAGGTAAGGTCGTAAGGATTTCTAATTCATATAAATATAAATGTTAGTGCTGACAATCAATATTGGGGGTGTGGGGACGAAGCCCCCACGGGTCGCTGGTATCATTAAAATTCAGCCCACCCAGAAATTGAACTTTACTTGCGCCTATGGTGATAAAATACGTATTTTTATCACTATTTTTTAAAATAAGAACATTTAGGTAAGCTAACTGAGTTAACTAACCTAATATTACTTTAAGGAAAAAGATTATAGATTCGGTTTATAAAATTTACAAATTAAAAAGGTTATATTTTTAATTAGTTGAAAAAATAATGAGTGTAAATTGGGATGTATGAAAAAAAATGTTTTTAGTGCAGTAAAGAGGAGGATTTTTTGGCGAATAATTAGTAATTAATAGGTCTGTATTTTTATGCAAATACACTTTCTTCTGCAACTAAAATTTTAATCACAAATCTCGACGTTTTACAATGAGTAAATTCTTATTATTACTACTTTTTTTCTTTGCATATTTTTTAAAAAAATATGATTAAATTACATATTTTTATGTATCTGCGTGAGTGTTACATTTTTTAATAACAATCAATAATTATTTTTCGAAATGATTATATTCTTAATTTTTGTTCTGATCCACCGACTTATTTTTATCCTTTTTATATATAGCTTTTTCAATATTTTCGCTTTAAATCGTATGTTAAATCTATACATCTTACATCCTATAATTTTTGTTTTAATTGTCATCATCTAAAGTGTTGTGACATAGATAGAAGTTTTTCCAAGTTTAAATCTATGATATGTGACAATCGCAGAAATTTTCAATTTAAAAATTTCAAATCATTAAGATGTTTATTTATATTTTCAGTACTCAATACATTTTTTTTGCATATTTTTGAGTGCATAAATATGTGCTATATTTATCCATAGTTTTTATTAAAAATTCCGGTCTTAAGTAACTAAAAAATATTTTTTTATTAAAATAAGCATAATTTTTGACCTAAGGTACTTTTCTATAATTATTTTAACTGTAAAAAATAATTGAATCCTGTAAATCCTGTAAAAGGCCAGTTGCGTCCTTATGGTGAGAGGGCGACGAAGATGATTGTCTTCCTTAAGGTGTACTAATTTACATAGTTTGTTAATTTTATAATTTATATTAAATTACTTGATATTTTTATTTTTTTAAATCAATCGAATCTGGATATTTTGTTTTCACAAATACGTATTCGATGTCATAGAATATGATATTATACATATAGGTATACACAATAGACTCATAGAATAATTCTTGGATAAGAAATAAAATGGGCCAAAATATATTAACAGGTTTGGCGCTTTTGCATATTCACTGACAGATCACATTAAATGTAGAAAAAATAATAGACTACTTTGCTAACGACAAAATATGTAGAGATTTTGTTAGATAAACCAATAAAGTACATTTGCATACTAAAATGATTTTGATGATTTGTTTTTTATAATGTAACATTTCAGTAACATAATATTTCGAAAGATGAAAAAAAAGAAATGAACACACTCTGTATCTGAATCCCATGTAAATGAATATTAATTTATTTATTATTCAGCCCCCAAGGTATGGGGAGTAAGGCCTTACAATTAGTTTAAATAAAACACAAATTATTTAAATAATAGAATAATATTTACTGTTCATTGATAAAGTATAATTCAATTTTGTTTATTCCGGACTTCAATTATTTTTTAATACCTACTGTATAAATAATTACAACTAACAAGTATGTTTATACATTATACTTATAAATATTCAATATCTATATATATATATTATATACTATTTGTCATTCATTGTACTCATAGGCGCAATTTGGCGAGGGCTTGGGTGTGCGTAGCACCCTCATTTTCGAAATTAGCACCCCCAAATGTGTTTATGTTAATTTACATTTAAATACTCATTATTCATTATGTATAGAAAAACAAAGTTTTTATTATCTATATAAATATATAATTTTTTTTTTCACGTCTGGAAAAACTCTTAAGATTTACAAAATGAGCTATCTAAAGTACCACCGCATGCCAATTTAAAATTTAAAAAAGTCCATAGAAAAAACTTTTGGACCAGTATTTCTATCCGAAAAAGTGTTAAAAAATAAGATACAAACATCATTATAAAACCATTATATCCTTCGCTTTAGTCAGAATCTAAAAGTGATCATGTGATGAAACATTTGTTTACAGATAGGTAATTCGTTATACATGCAATAAAAATTTATTTACTTATAAAATCAAAGTGAACAATTTAAATTTAGAAATATTCATATATTTACTAAATATTTTAGTAACTGTTGAACTGTATGGGTTGCGGGTGTCTATAACCATTAAGGAACATGAAAAAGATAAAAGGGCTTCAGCACCCCCAGTTTTTTAATTGAAATTGCGCCCCTTATTATATTGTACTAACAATCAAATAGGCACTAGAAAAAAAATTAGAAATCAGTAAATTTAAATTAATCCATAATTACATAAACACAAGTAGTAATTATCCTGATAAATTTGCGATTAAATAATTATAAATGTACACAGGCTTACGCCGGAATACTTTCTACATTATCGTTGGGAGGTTTGCATTCCATCGAATGTCCGGAATAAACTTAATTATATAAAATCATTTTTATTAAACATTGAAATTCAAAATTCACAAAACGGTTATGAAAAAATAAATAATCATTATGGAGTTGTACAATTATATAAAATTAGTTGCTTAATTAAAATAAATAATAAATCAATTAACGTGTAACGGTACTAATATTTAAAGTAAATTTGTTTAATCGAAGAATTTAATGCTATAAATTGTAGAACGCTACCTCTCGCTGTATTTGTTTCATTTAATCTTTAGATAAGTTGACAAGTGCACTATGTTCTGTATACTGCTATTGACATTGTCTTATAGGTAAGTACTTAAGTGCGAGTACCTATCAAAGTTATTGCTATAAATGTCAGAAAAATATGATTTACACTCGTAATAGCGTGTGTCGTAAAAATTAAAGTTCTTTCCTGTGAATGTTAGCGCATTTTCAAATGAAATGGTATATATGTATTTGTTACAAATGCACTACGAGGAACGTTTCTCTTTCTAACAAAAATGTCTGACTACCGTTACGGATACGCGACCGTATAAAATAGTTGTAATACACATCGAACATTACTAAAATGTATACTTATATACCTGCCTATGACCTAATGTATATTAAATTATATAAATATATTCTTACAACACATAGATCGACTGAAAATGAAAAAAATAACAGTATAATATGTTAAGTTTACCGTGTACGAGTACATTAAGTAATAAGTATCAATAAATATTATATATAAATAGTTACATTATGTTTTTTAAAAGAGCTGTTAAAATCGGTGAAGCGTGAGTAAACGAAAAGAAACGTAAACGGTGTAGATTACGTTTTATGGTGTTTTTTTTTTACAATTTAACAATTTTTTAAAAACATACACTACGCACTCGCACGTTAATTTTTTTTTTAAATTGTTCGGTTTCGTTCATTTTTGTCTTTTAATAAATTTGTCGACAATGGTGGATGTTATAATAATAATTATTTTAATTATTTATTATGCCCTTTAACTTGATACACGTAAGGGAAGAAGCCGCCTACGTTTAAAAGCATTACCTTTTGTTCATTTATTTTATTTATTCGTTAAGTGAGTTTCTACACCAGTCTCTCTTCAGTGGCCGTGGGGAATCACCAGTATGAGTTGTTAGGTTTGGTATAAAAAAGTTGTGATTGGAAAAGGGAGTCTGCTGCATGATTGTAATAAAAATTAAAAGTGTCGACTGCAACGGATTTTGTACACATCGTGAAACATCGGAATTATAATATGAATTAACCAACGAGTTTTATTTAAGCGTACAACAGTGCGTACCCGTACAACGAATTCTCGATGGTTATAATTCCTAGGGGAGAAAAATGTGTTAAATTAATTCGATTTGTTGAGCTTTAATTTGCATGTCAATATTTCCATGTGAATTTGTTTTCCATCGAATTGCCGAGGACCCGGCCGGGACGCGTATTGTATACTCTACTCGGCCGTCGTCCCGCTCTTACACACAACGGGATGCTCATGTGTACTGGCTGGTAGTTTTTATTATTATTATTATTATTATTATTAGATTACTTTTCGAGTTTGCACGATTTATTTGCATAACAGTATTCGTTATAGTTAATGTATTGTGTTGGGTTCGGCGACTGTCCGTACGCGCATGTATTCCAAGTATTATTATTATTATTATTACTGTTATCGCTATGTGTTTACAGGGAATAATTTTTTATTGTACGTTTGTGTAGTGCGTAGTGCTGCCGCGTAGGGCGTACGCGCACTGGTGCAGTACGCGCACTGCTGCTCTACGGGTATAGTATACGTATAGGAACGGGGACCGGGATGTCATCGGGCCAACGGCTGTGGAAGCTTGTAGATGCCGAACGTGATCAGGTTGGCGACCGGCTTGGACAGCTCCATGTTGACCTCGAGCATTTTCCGCTTGCCCACCGTCACGGTGCGCTTGCTGAACGTGTAATGGTCGTTGGTCAGCGGGTAGCTGCGCGCGTCCAACGTGCTGGGTATGGGCAGCGTGCCGAGGTCCGGCGACCGGGCCGTGATCGCGATCGCCGTGATCGTCACCAGATCCTTGGGCGGGTCGTAGTAGACGACGGCCGCGGACGCCGCGGCCGGCTTGTACGCGGTCAGGCCGCACGTCTCGATGTGGGCGTCCATGAAGCCGCCGAACGATCGCGTGCCCGAGTACCCGAACATGTTGTAGTCGGTCGTCTCGTTGTTGTTCTCGTTCCGCCAGCTCACCGTCATCGCGCACTCGAAGCCGTCCCGCTCGTACGCGAACGTCGCCGTCAGCGTGTCGTCCTGATCCGCGTCCGGGTCCTCCGACCGCATGGTCTTCACGTAAAAGTTCCTGAAGCTGTTGTCCGTAAAGAACCTGCAACCAGGGGCAACGTTCAATGGCAGTGGTGTAACTCTGTATGACTGGTGGAGAGGGTGGGGGTGGGGCTCGATTGCTATTATTAAACCGCCGTTGAAGTACGTTTTCTACGCCCACGGTACGATTATAACGGCCTACGTCTTGTAAAAAGTTTACTACTTAACAAATCCGATTTCGTTGGACGCTAAAGTTAAATCATAATAAATGACCTATCTGAGGGTGCCGATATAGCACAATGTGACGATCGTCCTACTGTACCGTATTAGTTGTATGATTGTTACTCAATTGATATTTTCGATTCTCGGTAAAATAATAACAACATAAGTATTGTAATCCAGAAGAAAAACAAAAAAAAAAAAAAAAAAATCGGAAAGGATTATTAGTTAAGAACGTGTGTGTGAGCAATTTAACTGACCTGAGATCGCTGGGCCGGTTGCTACTCGGTGCCGAATTTTCTTTGCCGTAAGGCAGGACTAGATAATCAGAAACGAACGTCCGATAGCTACTATCAATGGAACATTTCTTCGATTGACATTCACTGTCGGGAAACTTCCTTTTCAGCACTCTTGACACTATTATCTGTGTACCCGGTCGGTCAGGCATGACCATGACCAAAGGTCCGTCACGACCCGCGTAAATGCCGCTGCCTCCCCCGCTCATTGCCGGCATACTGTAACCGGACGCTATTAGGTTTACGTCGTTGGTATACGCCCAGCCGGCTTGCACTGAATCGGCTGAAACAGTCGGAAAAGTAAACGTTGGACAACACATACAAAATATACGGGTCACGATGTTTTTCAAATCGAATGCGTTTTACAATTGTCGTATACGGGTATGCGCTAATTCTACGATGTCGAATGATTCACTGTCGAATAAACACGTTACGCGTTTCGTGTGTACGTACGGCTTTTCATAATGTAATATTTATTTAATTGTTGGAAAACATGATGTAAGGTCTAATTTCCAGGTACGATAAATATATATTATGATGTATCATGGACACAAACAAACGAGAAACGTTCAGAAAACACGGTAAACCTAAAACCAGTAAACTAAAGGTTATGATTAGGGCTGTGATTTGTAGGAAAGCGCTTTTTTTTTGGTGATTGTAAAACGTAGCTTTGTAAATACATAATTTGAATTATGTAACTACGAATCTATTTATGCAAATTTATTTTGCATTTTTTGACATTTTTAATTTTTATGTAATTTTTGTGAATTTTTATGTCATATTTTCCTTATTTAGTTCATTTTCCGGTATTTTTAATCAAATTCTAAAGACTAAAGATGAATAAGGTACGCGAAAATAAATATATTTAAGTTTGTTTTATTATTTTAACAAAATAAATATTAAAAAAAAAAAAAAATGAAAAAAATGTTTCAGGTGAATAGCATTATGTATAGAAAATATCAACATTTTTATTATTATTTTTTTATTAACACTCTAAAAATAATCAATACTTTTTTATGCATGTAATGTACTAATGTATAATATCCTGTACCTAGTATTAATATAAATATAAAATTTAAATTAAAAACCATTTTAAATGAATTTTATATTATCATTTTTGGCATTTTATATTGCATTTTTTTTGCATTTTATATGTATATTTTATTGCATTTTTTTGCATTTTAAGTGCATATTTTATTTAATTTTTTTGACATTTTTAATACATTTTTTAAGGTTCTTAAGTGCATTAAATTCACATTCCTAGTTATGATGTATGTATATTTATTATATTATGAAAAGCCGTAGTTTTGTATAGAAAAATTAAGATTAATGTATAAATGCACTACGGCCGTAGTGACATATTAGTGTATCAAACCTGTTAGCAAAGGAATTTCTGAAAACCAAGCCGTGGAATAAATAACATCCTTAACACCAGTTTCCCGAATGAGGCGAGCTGCAGGATCTTCAAACATTATGTCAAAACATATGAACATTCCAAATCGTACCCCGAAATCAGTATCGAACGTGCATAGTTCAGATGGCTGGGTATGATTAAATCCAAATTCTCTGAACAAGTTAAATTTCCTGTACCTGAAATCAATGCATGCATTTTGATTTTAGTACCGATTTTGTAATGATTTTGGTAAAATCCATATTACCTGGCAACGATTCTTCCTTCTCTATCGAATACCACGTTCGTGTTGTAATAATAAGCTAAATCTTCTGGACACGCATCGTCTTCTTCTGTTTTGCAATATTCAATTTCTGGTAAATTTACCACCACATACATATGATGAAGCCGAGCCGCACACGATAGTTTATTTAACACCTATACGTATAGTCTAGTATATTATATTATAGATAATATATGCGTTGTTATTAATTACGTTCAGTTATTATAATTTTGATCTAATAATTTAGTATATAATTATTGTATTTACTGTATTTACTGTATAATCATATTATAGATATTATGGACTATTATGCTTATTTGAACTTACTGTACTGCAGTATTTTGTAAAACACGGGATGGTTTTACTTTCCGGGGAAGGGATTTCGGTCAAAAAAGGTCGTATTTCTTTTCTATCGTCAGGTAAAGTGACTCCGGTCAATCCTGCTTCAGGGAAAACCAGTATATCAACATCCTGTAACATATTAAAAACGTAATTTTGATTTAATCGTGAAATTATGTTTAAAAAAATCAATTAATTTTCGTACAATAAATTAATATTTTAAATTCATACAGGAATGTCAACTAACAGTAGCGGATCCAAGATTTAATTTTTTTGGGGTGGGAGGCATATTCCAAAAAGCAGTGATAATTTTGGGGAGTTATTTTCTTATTCGCCGTACATTAATACTTGTACAATTTAAAATTTGGTTATAGTTTTTATTTGTTTTTAAAAACCTTTCTTATTATCATTTGGATCAAAAGTACTACATCTCTAATTCACTTACTCGCTCAGTTATACACTCAATTACTTATCTATATTTACTGTTGAATTAAAATTAAAAGGTTAAGAATTAAAATCTAACTTAAGCCAATGGGGTAGGGGAAGTCCCCTTGGAACTCCCCTTTAAATCCGCCACTGTAAAGTAATGCAAGTACAATTTCAATTTGTAACTATTTTCAGTATGTTTGTAAAAACATTTCGAAGATGCATTACTCGTATAACTTTTCAAAACTTATTTTGGTAGGTCACAGGTATTGTTTATTAATTATCTACTCAAAAGTCATAACTTATCAACTCAGTTATTCTAATAATAAGATAAATTCTCTTATTTAAATTTAAATTTATTAAAAAAAATTAGAACTGAAAATAAGAATTGCTGTAAAGTATGTGTTCTTTAATACAACTCAATTTCATAAGTAATATATGACGACAATTTTAATTTATAGGTTAATTAATATATCTATAATAATACTATTAAGAATAAACTAAGTAATACTATAATTTTATTGTAATTAAGAAGTCAATTAGCTTACATAATTTAATTGTACTATTAGTAACGTTTTAGAAAGTTTAAAATAAAATGAAAAACAATTTTAATGCGTTATTTACATATTATATATTTAATATATTATTATAAACTAAAAATTTTACTTACATATTGGCTAACATTGTGAATAATGTCTTCATATATAGGTAAGTTATTCTGGATCGACTGTAATGGATTTGATCCTAAGTTGGGGTAGTATTCGACAACAGCCGCAATATAATGTTGGTTGTGAAATCCTTTGCTTTTAGATGTTTCATTTCCGCTAACCATTAGAGTTAGCTGTAAGTATTAATATAAAAATTTATAATCATAATAATTATTTTATACATAAACATATACAGTCAAATATCTAAATAAATACGTCAAGTTGAAATCTTACGTTATGATTCATTGTTTTGATAAGATTTTAATATTTATATAAGTCACTTAATCCCAATTAGTATACATAAAAAATGTACAGCAACATTTATTAAACAACTATAATTAAATATTTAATTTTAAATATTCAAAATATGAAAATTGTAACTAATCGTAGTAGAAAGTGTTAATTATTTAGTATAATTGGAAATTTATTAGCGTTTATATATATATATATATATATATATATATATATATATATATATCATTTTAATGAAAATTATAGTACATATACGAGTACATCAATTTAATAGTAAAAAATAGAATCAATGATATTTAGTGGTTTATTATATTAAAAAAAAAAATTATAAATTAATACCTATAATTTGTATTTTTATTGTGTGTTTTTTAAAAATAATTTTTATATTAACTAAATAATAATAATAATAATAGCTGTTTATAAAAAGTGTAAAATTTAAATTTGATATAATGTACGATACATAATAATGTTGATTTAACAATTTTTATGAGTGTATATTTAGAACAAATTGATTTGTAGGCAATCCTATTAAAAAATGAAAAAAAAAATAAATAAAAAGTAAACGAATCATTTGCATAATATATATATAGTAAAAACTTACCAAGCATATTAAAATAACAATTAGTAGAGGCACAGTCATAATGTAGTTGCTTAAGAATTTCATAATTATATTTTTGGTTCTAAAACATATTAGTTTTAAATTTATATTACTAATTGTTAGTGCCATATATTTTATTATACTTATTTGTTTTATAAAAATTGATAAAATATAAAAACAGAAAATTAAAACACTTAAAGATAAATGTTTTATATTGAATAATCCATTAAGTATGAAAATAAAGTAAATAATTATTATGTTTCTAGCTGGGAATCTGAATCTCTTCTTGAATAAATACTAATAAATTATATTGATATGAAAGCCATACATTTTAACACCTATAGAAACACGATGAGGTCAATGTTACATTGTTTATCATATGTTTATCGTTTATATGAAATCGTATTTTATTTATATAACACGGTTTAGGTTTATAAGAAATTAAAAATTTAAACATGTTACACGATTATAACTATTTTACATTAGTTGTTATTCAATTTTGTATTTATCAATAATATTCTAATACAATTAAGAATTAAACATGTTATACGAGGTATAGAATGTACAAACGATTGAGACCGTGGATTTCAGTTACAATACATTATAGAATACGCAGATATTTGAAATTATTTGAGGAAATAGAAACGGTAATTTCAAATAGTAAACACATTTTCTTAAATAAATAAAAAATTCTTATCATTGCAATTTAATTTGGTATTGAGTATATTGTTTCTTTTCAAATATAGAGATATTCAAAATTTTGTTATGCTTATTTTTTAGTACTTTGCGTATAAGATAATTTAGTTAATATTTTACTATTGGACAATATAGTAAAACATTAGTTATTATTAATAACACATCGTTAAAGCTATACAATTGAATAATACTGAGTGGATTTTCAAAATAACTTTACCATTTTTTGTTGATATCCCTTTTCTACGTCTGTTAAATTTTGCTTGCACATGGCTCATCTTATGAATAACATTTAATTATGTATTACAAATTAATTTAAATACACGACAACGGATTTAAAGCTTATTTATAAAAAAATAGTTATCATAATTTAATACATTTATATGATATATATATATATATATATATATCGAAATGTTATTAGACGGTATCAGTTTCATAAAAAGATATAAAAACAAAGGGTTTATACTTTTAATGAATATAATCCTAGATGAACTTTGGGTTGTATAATATGTTTTTCTGCTTTGAATATTTGATAAGAATATGTGTGTGTGTGTGTGTGTGTTTGCGCACGCATGTATGTTTTATAAAATATAAACTCATAGTTCGCAAATAAAAATAGTGTCAATAATGTTTTTATCTAGACGCAAAAAAAGGACAACTATTTATTTGAAATGTTTTACATCGTGCCTACATTTATGCAGTCAAATCATATTTTTATCAGACACGTTGTGTACGAGATACATTTTATACTGAAGAATGGTAAGTATATCGTAAGATTATAATTTTTTAAATTTGTTTTTTGTTATTGATCAAAAAGCCTCGGCATTTATGACCATTGGCTGACGATGGTTATTAACGGTAGGTTTGGTAAGTATACTGAATTAATGAAAAATATATTTTGCTGTAATATTTAAATGGATCACGTATCTTGAGAATATGACTTTATCGCTAAAAGCCCAGATGGTACCCTATTTGGAAGTTAGTAACGCCATGCATAGTTTAACCGCAACCGTAGTTAGTTACCCATTTATAATAAAATTAAGTTCCTTACTCTAAATGTTTTATTAAATTAATGTTTTTATTAAATAAAACACATTTTGTAAATATTGGAATAATGTATATTTTTTTTTTTTATAATTGCTATAGTATGCGTGTTATATAAACGTGTTTTGTGAGATTTGAAAATAAAAAAATATTATGGATTGTGAATTTTCACTGTTTTTTTTATAATAAATGTGATAAAACTATTTATTTATTCGCTGATATCTCCATATTCGTGACAAAAATATGACGAAATTAATTTATGGATAATTTTATCATAATAAATAACGGATCATTAGTGAAATTCAAGTTACCGTTAAACACGTTTTGTAAGAATTTATGGAATAGAAACTGACCAATTAAACAATCAAGTGAATGCATGAAAATAAATTCACCCAATATAAAAAAAACCATTTGAATTCGACAAAGCCACCAACCTTTATAGAAACAATTTAGCACAAACATAACGGACTATTGTCTTATCTCCTTAATTATAAATATTCGAAAAAAGACGGTAAGAGTTGTTGAAGAAAAAAAAAATGAATAAACATTTTAAATGGCTTCTTGCATAAATCTATATTGTTTATTATTTATGATTTAGAATTTATTTATTGTTATATTAATATGATTAAATTTGCTATACCAATAATTACGTGCTGTTGTAATTGCATTGTTTGACTAAGGTCATTGTTTTTATGATAAACAGATAAACTATACATGTTATCGATTAACACCACGACAGCCGATAAAATGCACCGAAGAGGATATATGTAAGAAGATATTCTCATATTTACTCCTCCTGAATGAATATATCCACTTAAGGTACATATATGTATTTTATATATATATATATATATATATATATACAACAAGATGAAGGTTCACCTATGTATAATTAAATCAACGATTAGGTGAATCTATATGGGTACTTTTATCGTTGTACGCACATGTTTATTTTATATTTATCTATGTCATAATTTTATCTTAAAAATTATTAGTATTAAATCATTATGTAAATTCTATAGTTTCAATGATTTAAATAAAATTATTTTGAATATTATAAATATTTATCTGATAAATCGTATATGTAGACTGAAAAATAATTATCAGTAAAGTTTTGGATATATATATATATGCCAAAAAAATATGACATTTACGCACTCTTTTGGTCGCTTGTTTACGAAAATAAAATTATGTTCGAATTATATGAAAAAGTTAGTGTGCTAGCTAAATTAATTATTTAGTCCACGTCGTTATTACGACACCCTACGCCGCTCTAAAATTATCTTGGAATCTTTGAGTTAACCATTTAAGTTGTAGTAATCATGTTTCGAATAATTTAATTTAAAAAGTATAAAACTATAATCCTTAAAAAAAAAATGATTAAAAATGTTTAGTAAAAGTTTTCATGTAGTTTAAAATACCTTAATAGAGATGTGAGAATTGTTATTAAGTGTTTAAATAAGAATTTGATATTATTTTTTTAAGTTAAATAACCAGCTAACAGACTACATACCTATATGTATTGAATAAGGTTGAAACACCAAATTGTCTTCGGTTATAGGTAGTATGATATCGTAGTTTGTAAAACAGATGCCGGCAGTACTGTTAAATTTTCTAAAAAAGAATATACCGAACAAAACCGAAAGACGATTAGAGTGATGCGAGTTTATATAAAGGTTTATCACACAGAAACTAAATACTCTTTGATTCGTTGAGTTACGATAAAATCATGAAAATGAATAATATATAATCATTATATTTATAAATTAGTCGAATTTTAATTTAATCATGTTCATTGTATGATAATGTCTGAGGAGGTGACTCAATTACGGCTCTTTTTATAACAATGTATAAAAATTCAAAAAATTATATTTAACTAGTTTTCAACAATGCATCAAGTAATTATACAAATTAATCATTAACCATATTATGATAATGACTTGTATGTTTCTGTGATTGAGTTATCAGAATATTAATAAACAGTATTTCATTATCTTTTTTAAAGAATATTTTATAAAAAAATGCCGTATATAGATTATTTTAACCTTTGTTAGTTTTACTGTTAAATTATGATTGAGTACAATAATATATAATACCTACCTACTAATTTAAAATTAAAGTTGGACTGAATTTATTTGATTATTTGTTGTATTTTTAATACTCTAATGAAAATTATATGTTTTATATTATGTTAATTGTTTTATGTTTAATTAATTAAATGTTTATTAAATTTTCCTATTTATGTATATTATACAAGTGTGCGCAGATCTATATTTCAGAGGATGTCTACAATGATTTTGGGCCTTATTTTAACAAAACGTGTAGGTTTATTTAATAAATTATAATGTATAAATAATTAAATAAACATAATTTTACATATTTTATTTAATACTATGGTATATTATTGTCAATGAATATGTTTTCTTTGAATCTCTTATATTTTTCTTAGTTAGCTTCAACTATTTATGATTTTTGTATTTTTTTAATCGATTGTAGCTGTTATATTATCATAATAAGTGTTTGCACGAAAATTTAGAGAATTTAGTTTGATTTTTGTAATATTTTTTACCAAATATTTTTTAAAACATTACATTTAATTTGAGCAACATTAGTTAAAATACGGTCCCCAAACTTATAGGCTTAAATTTTTACGGCCCCACTTCAAAAATTTTGGGGTGTGCCCAAGCACCTATGATAACATTTTTATATTTATAATTTAATTAGTGTTTTTGAAGAAAAATGATTTTTGTTTATTTTAAATAACACAAATAGTTAAGACAACACGGTATAACAAATTATTAATACATTAGGTAAATCGTTTGGAGATGAAAATTCAAAATTCATAGTAATAGTAAAATGACCAGCATAAAAATGGCCTTCAATAAAAATTACTACCTAATAAATACACTCTAAGTACATTCAGTTGATAAATAACAGTAATTTAACTGACTGCAAGATGAAATATATAAAACATTAAAGAAATTATTTTATGATATAGACGAATATCATTGAAAGTAAAAGGCTACTACTATAGGTATTAAGAAGGTAATACAGCAAATTTTTTCTATGGAAAGTTAAGAATAAAAATTGAATCAAATTTCCTTTTAATTGAAAAATACCGACTTGTCAATCGAATGTAGCGATGGACGATGGTAATACAATTATTAAACGGTAAAGAACTATACATACGAGTAAGGAGGGCGCTTACCATATTATATAATTAATGTGAAATGTTATATTCTCAAGATAATTAGTTTTTAAATTATAGATCTATTTGTTTGAAAAAATTGACTTAAAAATATTAACTAGTTTTTTTTTTAAATTAATTTATATTTATAAAATATTTTTATCATAGTATTTAAGTTAATTTATACTTAAGATATTTTTCATAATGATTAAACTGATGATTTAAAGAAATTTAAATTTTTTCATGCACTTTTTTTTAATGATGATATATTTGTAAGACATTTAAAGAGTTTATTTAATTTTTGCCAATGAAATATTAAATTTTTAATTTATTATATTTTAAATCTTTTTTATTCAAGGAAACAATTTTTACTGTTTCTTTAAATTGCTATAACAAAAAATGGTAAATTTTTTTTTCTTGTAAATAACTAAAATAATGATAATAATCAAGGCTAAATAATCCTTGAAATTATTGAGTGTAACAGGTCAATAATTTAATTATTAAAGTGATCATCTCTGAACTAATTATATTTGATAAAATATATTTAAATGTAATAACTGTGTTTTGATAATCACATGCTTATTTTACGAGTATTAATTCTTTTATTATAAATAACATATTTATAATATATGAATAATTCGTTATAAATTATTCAAATACAATTATAAATAGTGTTTGAAAAATAAAAAAACGAGGAAAATTATTAATTTAATACTGCTTAATAGTAAAATTTAGTTAATTTTGTGCATCGCTTTTTTATAAATATGATACTAGTTATTAATTTTATAAAATTCGTAATAATATTACGATATAATAATATATATATATATATATATATATATAAATATATAATATTATCATCATTGAGTAATTTAATTTTATGGAGAAGAATCAGCATTCAATTCCACGGTATTATAAACTTAAAACCAGTTTTGCGTAGAATTGAAGAGAGCTTTGTATATTGAAATTAGTTTATCTGCTTTATTTGTGTATATTCGAGTTGTCTGGGTTTATATTTATAAAATTATAAGCAAAGAAGTCTTACAACATTTTAATTAATTTTATTTTATAATAATTTTTTTTATGACCTTTTCGTAGATTTTAATATTTTAGTTTTTAAAATAAATAGGAGTAATTTTAATTTTATTTATTTTGAAAATAAAATTTTAAAAACACCGAAGTATCAAGTTAATTATTCTAAAAGTAGTAATAGGCTAAATCTGCTGTAAGATGGAAAATAATTTGACCAGATCAATTATACTGCATAAGGAGAACAAATTAATATAAAATATATTGATGGTCTATATAATATAATCATTTATTTCCAAATTAATCATGGATAGTTTCATGGTACTTAAAGTGCAATTAAGTGCATTAATTATATTGTATACTTAGGACTTATGTCGTATTTATACATTTGTGGGTTCTTTATAGGTGTATACTGTATAGCTATTTATATATTCATTATGCAGCTATTATAACTAATCTGGAACCATATTGTAATCTCTGATAAGTTATATAATGTACT